TTCAATGACTTTTCTGAACATCCTATAATACTTGCAGTACTGGGAGGTACAGCATGTGTAATATAGACAGCAGATAATAATACAGATCATTCTGGATCAAGTAATTATTTTCAATGTAACAATACTGTTGTGTGGATATGGATTTCAAAGAAATGGAAACAAATTTAAAACTTTCACCCAAATAAACAGTTTTTCAAGAGAAGAGTTTCACACTATATAACAATATGGAATGGGAAATGATCAGTCAAGGGACAAGTTGAGAGTGGGATGTGTCTGTCTTCGAGCCAGACCAGCTTTGAAGCATCTGATGTTTATTTGCATTTCAAAAAAAGGTCAAGGTGCTCATTTAGAAAGGCTAAGACAGAGCAAGATCTCTGGTCCTGTAAAATACGTGCAGCAGCTGGAAAGACAGAGCCAGCTACTTTGCAAAGTACTTCTGCCTTGTCAGAGAGTTCTTAGCTCCATATTTGTTGAGTACAACCGTGTTACAGTTGCAGACACAAAACTTGTATTTTGTTTCCTGGTCAAAGGCCCACTCCCATTTCCAATGTTAAATCACTTGCAGAATGTAAACTGCAGAATCTCAATATTACAAAGTAAATCTATCTTCTACCTCATACTTCAGAAAACACCGACTCCTAGTTTTGCTCATTAGCGAATGGAGAACAGAGGTAGTTACACAGAAGAAAAGTACAAGCAGGAGCTAAAAAATCTTTAAAAACCCAGGGGTTTTGTGCAAACTGCTGCATTTTAYTTTAATGTAACAACATTTCTTTGGTCTGAGCTTGGTACAGTCACAGTTTGAGCAATAAAGTACCAATTAGCTACACAATATCAAATTCTGCTTCTACGCAGCAAGTGGATATGCCTGGGTGGATTCTCTTCTCAAASTAATTAGTTTGAGTTTGTAGGAATAGAGCTAGCTAAAGTTACCTACATCTTACATTCTCATTGTGATAAATTCAACACATGTCTAGAGAAATATGACATAGCAAAGGCTTCCAGAACCTTCCCTCAGACCTCAGCAGTCCTCTTTCAAGGATTCAAACTTTCACAGAAGACCTAGTATGGGCAACATTGCAACATTACTAGATCCCAACAATTACCTGCTGCTCCCTGTAGCTTGCAATCCTAAACTGAGCTGTCCTGGAAGCACAGCAACTTTTAAACAGAGAAATGGCATTCATTTGTGAGCACCATAAAGAGGAGYACCCTTAGGTAGATTACTTAACAGCGTGGAGAGGCCAAGGAGTGCATGCCAAGGCACCTGAAGAACCAGAAAAGCAGTACTCAATAAAGCAACCACAGAGATATTATCTCCCATTAGCTTTGTTTRGACCTAGTTAAATTAACTTAGTTAGATCTTATTAAATTTTCATAAAACCACCTAGTTATTCTGCCCTTCTTACTGCATTGAATTCTAGCTGTAGCAGATACTCATTAGCCACCACCMTGTGTTTAGGCAAGTCCTGCACTTTTTCTGCTTATTTATCCCCTGATTGTATGAATATTYGAATAGAGATCTAAATCCAGGAGATCTTTCTTTTGATCCCCATGCACTGAACCGATGATAAACAATGAGATCATTATTGTATTAAACAGAAAGCTGCTTGGTGTTTAAGTAGTTTGTCATTGATATTCTTCAAAGAACTGGCCACATGCATAAGAACAGGGATTAGGAATGATAGARCTCCTGCTGTAGCCATTAAATCATACTATTTAGAGGATCTGCTGCAGGCTTTCTACAAGAGATCTTACAAAGCATTTCATTTCTGACCTCAGACATTTCTTGGCTTTGGTTCAAAAGTTTAGAGCCTATCTTGGATAGAGTTTGGCAAACACATTATTTTGTACCCTGTGGCCTCATTAATGTAGCTTCAAATTTCTGTAAATATTCATAGCCGTTTAAAGAAGTGGACTATAAACTCTGCTGGGAACCATAATTCAAAAATTACCCCGTTTCAAATATTTTAGGAAAGATATTTATTTGACCTTGGACAGATGTGAGAGATGGGTAACTGCCAGCTRTTTTTTTCATAGATCAATACAGGTGGGGAACGACTTAGTGGGTGCTTAATATTAACATTGCTAATCCAAGAAAGTAATGGGTTCTGTATTAAAAGAAAAKAAAAATGTAAGTTGTTTTACAGGAATCCGTTGACTTTTATAGGGTTATTCGAACAACTGGATACTTGCTGTTCATCTTGCACATTAATGCATGCCTGTATTACTGGGCTTCAGACTACGAAGGGATTGGCAGCACTAGATGGGTGTATGATGGCGAAGGAAACATGTAAGTCCTTTACTCTTGCAAGACATTTTTGTTCATTTTTTGGTTGATTTTGCTCCTTTCTGCCTCCAAATCCTTCTCCCACGTCTTTGCTTGCAGGATGTGCCTTTACTTTGTAAGTGCTTGGGTAGCAAACTTTTAGCACCATGACTGCTGATTAGCAGCTTTCATTACTAACACATACTTGGAGGGTAGGTGCARTGAATAATCAGCTCACCACTTTCAGATTTTATAGGTTTATGARCCAGTGCTAAGCACTAACTTAATTAAACATTTAAAAAGCAACAAGGGTCATAAATTAAACTTACTGGTTGCATGTGCATGTGAGAACTGTTATAAGGATTGTATAACAATCCCTCAAACGAAACACAGGAATATTTTGGGGGATTTTCTTTTCTGCCACACAGCATTGTGTCATAAAAGTGCAACATTTTAGTCACTCTACATCATGGTGATTGGTTTGAAAAAATTCAACCAGCTCTCTCTTATCTTTTGAGGTCATGCTTGAACAAGGGGCAGAGTGTCTTCAGGGGGAAGGATTGTGTATTGGCACAATTTTCCACACTTGTGACAGCACTAGGTTGGGTGCCAAGGAACATTTATTAACATGATGGAGAGGAARTAAGAGAAAATAGCAGTCATAATATATCCTGTGAGTAGTTTTATAAAGACATATCTAGCAGGTTCAGCCGTATGAACATTCATTTCTTTCAAAGGCTGCAATGTAGYTAAAGCCACAGAAGCTCAATTTGTTCTTTGATCACATTCCTTGCAAAACCACATACAGTATGCTGCTGCTGTCATAAATCACCTTCTGAACAACTTTTCACCTTTCTCTTGGAGATGTGCTCCACTTGTTTTTATCTTTGTCAGACTTCATGAGTTTAGTGTCAAGACACTGTCTTGACGGATAAGAAAATAGTCTTTCAGAGCAAAACACACTTTGTGTGAGACAGCATTGATTTTTTATTTTTTTTTTAATTAGAGCTATCTCTTGGAAAAAGTGACATGTCTGAAGTTTACACACACCACTAAAATACACAGCTTGAATATTGCAGTCAGATGTGSAAGCAGGGTCATGGAGCTTAGTGGGACCACTTATGTAAGTGAAGTTATAGTCAGRTATTTATTTGCAAGATCCAGGTTTCCAGAAATCTGACAAGAAAAATGCAGAAATAATTTCCATTACATTAGCTATTTTTTGTTAATGTCATTCTTGGGAATACTTGCCTATAATTAAAAAAACAAGGAATGTAAGACTAAGAAACCTGAAAACTGAAAGTAGAGAGCTTACTCAGTCTTTAAGTTTTTAATGCTTCTTCAGAAAASTCTAGAGAACAGGCAAGAAAGAACTACTTGTTTTTAAGAGAGAAAAAATCTTTCACATTTCACTCAGACAAACAAATRGTAGAAATTATTACTGGCTTTACCACAGACAAAGCAGTTCTGACCTGGCAATGGCCAGGGGTTTTAGTATTTTGTGATACCTCTTCCATGAAGAACCCAAAAACTTTCTCAAATGAAGTCAAACTGCAACCACATAGAATTAATAACAGATTTATTTTATAAACAATGATAATAAACTGATAATTCAAGTGCTACATTAAACTGAGATTCTGAAATAAAGTGCATGTTTGAATATGCAAATATCCAAGCTAAACATTRACCTGTTGGAACGAGTCCAGARGAGGCCACTGAGTTGATCACAGGGCTGGAGCACCTCTCCTGTGAAGACAGGTTGGGAAAATTGGGACTGTTGAGCCTGGAGAAGAGAAGGCACTGGGGAAACCTTATAACGCTATCCAGTACCTAAAGGGGAGCTTACAAGAAGGCTGCACAAGGACTCTTTACAAGGGCTTGCAGAGATAGAACAAGGGGCAATGGCTTTAAAACAAAAGAAGATTTAAATTAGATAGTAGAAAGAAATCCTTACCATGAGGGTGATAAGGCACTGGGAACAGGTTGCCCAGTGAGGCTGTGGACTCCCAGTCCATGGAGGTGTTCAAGGCCAGGCTGGATGGGCCTCTGAGAAACCTGGTCCAGTGAARGGTGTTCCTCCCCRTGGTAGGGGGACWGGAACTGAGTAATCTTTAAGGACCCTTCCAAACCAAACCAACATTTCTATGATATATCCACGTAAACCTCATTAAGCCATTGATCTACTTCATCTTGTCATTGGTTGGTGAATGCATGACTTTATTCTTTTGCCTTTGTCTAACTCATACTGGAATGTATAGTGCCATGAACACAGAACCACAAATATTACACAATGAGCTGCATTTGATAAAGTACACCTTTGTATCACACAAACAGCAAATACCCTCTGTATGGGAGAGTCATTGCMTTGGAGAAACAGGCATATAATCTAATATCTAATTCTCAAATGTCTGAGGATTTTCTCACACAGAGAGAAATCACATGAACATTAGTTATAATTGGAAATGCAGGGTGAATTTAAAGTTATCAGACMAGATACTTCTAGGTATATTCATTTATTTGGAAAGCAGAAATAAGTAAAACATGTCAGGGAAAGTGACTGGTATTGCAGCAAACATTGTGGCACAGCAGTGCACATATAATTTTCTTTCACAGAGCATTCAGGGTTGACAATATTTGAAGCAAAATATGCCAGTAGTCTCACAAAGAATGGGAACGTATTTAGGAAGAAGATTAGGCATACATATCTACTTAGCTAATTTTAAAAAATGACAGTAAGCAGATTGACAAGTAAATCAAAATTCTAGCAGTCTCAGATTACATTGACCCACAGCAAATGATCTGGCACTGATTCAGTGGTATTGATGTTTTATGTAGAATCCCTGCTGTGTCCATAAAATATTGCTAGTTGGTGCAAAAAACAGTTCTTAAAAATGTCACTACTCTYAGGATTTTTTTCCTTTTCCAGGCTAAAAAGAATTAACAGTTTCCATTATSAGTTTGATTACATTCTCCTGAGCAAACACCCTAGTTGGTGAACTAAATCTATAACTAACTGCCATACACAACACTGAAAGCACAAGCAAAATTATCAAAATAGCTCTTTTTCAAATCTCTGCAAGCTCTACTCCTTTCCAGTTCCTGTCCAGAATCTGAAGTGTGTCAGTCCAAAATTTGAGCTCTTTTGCRCAGCAGCCTTCAGTCAAAGCCTTTGACTTGAGGTGCAAAAGGCTGTCAACTTTTCCTCCCTGCAACACACCCAAATTAGCCACATATAGTGTTTCCAGCACTAAAAGTGAACTCATGAGCTTGAGCTGGGCAAGATCTCAGTCTCTCCCAGTGCAGAAGCGCAGCATCACCAGTGCAACACCAGAGTGTTAGATCTATGCAAGGACATTAGCAGGATATTGAAAAGGTCTGTTAATAAAGTGGACAATTTGAACTATATGTGTTTATTTACAATCTAATTTTACCACTAGAGTAAAAGATCAATCTCCCTAATTTCTGCAGAAAATGGACACATCCTTTTTAAGGGATTTGACATAAWGTTATTGTTCTGAATTGGCCCAAGGGAGTATCTCTCTTTTATCACTGTTCACAGAGAAACTCATACTAGGGAGCTGAAATTTTCATGCAAACCCTCCAGGTCAGTAGTAAATTTAGGCAAAACAAATAATTTCACTTTGCTCATGGTATACGTCTGCTGTTTACATTTTATCCACAAGTAGTCTGCAAAATTCTTTGGCAAATTTAAGACMTCTATTTGCATCCCAGTTATGTTTCCCTGTAGCTTGCTGCCTTCCTGCTCTGGACTCAGGCTGGGTGGATGTCTGTAAGTCCCAGGAAATGGTTACTGTGCATATTCTACAACAGCTCCACTCCTTTGGTACACGTTGCCCAGTGCACAGTGAGACCAGCACATCTTCAAATGTGCCTTGTGGGGATCAGTTGTGAGTGACTCTTGTAACAGGTGTGATGTGCCACACTCGCAGTGCTGGCTGTGCAAAGAGTTTTGTGCCTCCTGACAAGACGTGAATGCACAGTCCAACTTGTGTGTCAGACTTTCAGACCTACTACCCACAGCTTTAGGTAAAATCTTCMTGGCTTGCCCTGTTGTGTCTGAGATCCTCAGACCCTTATGATGAACAGGTCACTCTAGAAGAGGAACCAAGAGGGAAATCATCAGTTTATCAAGGCTGCCTCTTCAATCAGCTTAAACCCACCCTGGCTGTAATCTGAGAGGAGTCAGACATGACAGCCCCGAAACAAYGCTCCCCTGGGCTGAAATGGATAAGTGAATACCACCTCAAAACCTGAGAGACACATGCACAAAGATGATTTACCTGCACTAAACAAAACCATGAAAGAAGTTTAGTGTATTCTGAAATGGACTTTCTTGAACGAGGTGTTTCTATTGGAATAATATTACAAGATACCTTATTTGCAGTGTTTCTGAATGTTTTCATACCTAGGATTTTTTTAATTTTTTTTTTTTTTAGGAAAAATCTAGTAGTTTGATTGCCTGAGGGATAAACATACTCTCTATGATTTGGAGAGGGAAAAATCTCTTTCTTGTCTCACAACTGTTGTTTGCTTCAACAGTAAATTTACAGCAGGCTGGTAAGCTGTATGGTGAGCAGTGGTGGTTTCCAGACACATGCTGGTARGAAGCAGAGCTGCTAATACTGTTGAAATAGGAGTCTGTTTTTTTTCTGGCTTTCCTTAAACAAAATTTACAATCTCATTTCTCCCCTTCTTAGGGAAGAAAAAAGCTGCTCTGTGTTTCAGCTGTGCAACTTTCATTTCAGATTAAAATAAAAACAAAAATGCATAAATGGAGAAAACCTGTGCCTAAGAGATAGTGAATATCATGTGCCTTTGCCAGTAGAAAGTTTCTTTTGAAGTGAAATTACAGAAGAATACAGTATATTAACTACATCTTAAGAAAGGGGTAGGCAGATATAAAAAAAAAATCTCACATTTTGGACATAAAATGTTGCAAAGAAGAATGTGACCCCTGAATTCCTCTGAGGAACCGCTTTCATTCTTTAAAGACATTCTCAGAATAAAGATTTTCATGTCTATCATAGTGGAGTTAGCAAACTTGGCACGCAGAGCCGTTGCGGGTGAGAGAGTTGTTTAATTACTTTTGTTTCCTAAAGTAACTACCACAGAAGTAATGTCAATTTCTTTACTTCCATATTACTCAATTACACATCTTGCAAGCACCCCAGCATTCACAGTTATGGCAAATCAATAYGATATTAATATGCTTTATATGATAATTCCCCTTAGTCAAGCTAGATGCATCATTTTATTCTTAAATCTGTAATTCTTCCAAAATGGATCTTAGTCTTTTTTCTATTTATTTATGCTACAGAAGTCTAAGAAAAAGCTGCCACCTCTGCATATATTTCTGGAAACATCCATATATGTTTTGGTTTCAATTTTTTTTAACCCAAGTGAAAATATCATAGTACATCCAGCAGTTCATTTTACATCCCTAAMAAAGAAAAATGATAAGATGGAAAATATGCAATGACTTTTTTATTTAAGGACTCTGAATGAAAATGGCCGGTTCTGACAGTTAAAATCTAAAACTAGAAAACCCTGAAAAAAGTGATTATTGTTACTGCACTTCATTGATCTGCAACCAAGAAAAAAGTGACTTTAGAATGAAAAGCAAAAACCAATTGCTTAGTAAAGCCTGACATTTTGGGTGGGAAACTTGAAAATATTTTCAARCRTTTTAAGAAAAAAACAAACCTCATTGGATTTGGGAGTTTATTTTCTCATATTTGCACAAAACCAACCCTGCAGTTGTGTTATTACATGAGCTTCTTATTTCAGTGGAATTCATATCTTGAGAAGAGAAGAGCCTAAAAGTGGAGGCCATAAAATAAAATATACTCAATTATCTGCAAGCAGATCAGGTGTCTCAGATTCAGAGCAGGCATGAGAAGATGCACGAGAGACTTTCTATTTCAAAACAAACTTACCTTTGGAAGTATTTTTTCTGTGTCTTATAGTGTGGGGGAGGGGAGTTTTTGTTTTTAAAATTATTATTATTTAAAACTCAATGAAATTCAACAAACATAAGGAATCATCATTGCTTCAGAAGAAATAATAGAAAATCACAGATGAAATAATGGAAAATCTCAATTTATAATAAAGTAAAATGAAGTTCCGCTCCTAATGACCAGAAAAGCTGAAGTCTAATTGTACAGAAACTTAGGAAGTCAAATTCTAATTAATTGCGGGCTTTTAAAAATACAGCTAAACCAATTAGTTGCTCACTCAGAAAAGAAGGAAATGATAGCATTCTCACAACAATGGTTTGAAYTAGTTATTCCCCACTGCAGTGGTGCATTACTTGTGCTACCATGCTCTAGAATGCATTTAAACCAGAATTTTAGAGATGCCGAAGCACTCTTTTAAAACTTTCTGTCCAGGCCCTTTGYTGCTTTCATAAACTTGTGTTATCATACGAGTAGAAATACACGACTTGAAGGCAACGGGATCTGCAGAGAAGGCAAGAAAGTGTTTGTTAAGGTGACAGAAGTAGTGGAGACCAACAACCAGGGGGTGTTAACAGAGGAGTCAACCTTTCAGTGCTGAATTAGTGCTCTGGAGAATCTGAATTTACACACAGCTTGTGGGAATACATAACTTCTGTTTGACATAACCCAGGAGGTAGAGCCCATGAAGGGTGCTCAGAAGCAGGGTGGGAGGAGGACCAGCATGGTTGAAGGGGTAGAAATGGACACAAGAAGAGCAGCATTGCGTTTGTCATTCCCATCATAAGGATTAACACTGGTGTCTTCAAGTGAAAGCTGTGAAAGGGACCTTCAGATCTCTGAGCATCTCAGATGCTGCTACACAGGGACTCTGGGAAGTACCCAACACTTCTACACTGCTTTTGACCATCTTCACTGGTAGCATTCTAACACTGTACTGTCCATCTTGGCAATTTTGCACACAAGKCTTCTGTAATGCTACCTACAGTTCYTAGAGAACAGTAAATTAGYSCTGCAYTTCCCACACATTCTTATTTTTCTGTTGGTGAGAACACTCAGCTCACCCTGACCTATGTAACCATATCACCACAAATTCATAAGCCTTTATAAAAATGCTGAAAGTCTTTTGGACTGAAGAGCATCCCTCAAAGGCCCAACTCAGACAGGCTTATGCTTAACGCAAGTAGCTACAGTCTGACAAAAATGTTATTTGTATCCACAGGTACCTGAGGTGTTACTACTGGGCAGTTCGCAGTTTGATCACCATCGGTGGCCTTCCAGAACCAGACACGCTGTTTGAGATMATTTTTCAACTGCTGAATTATTTCATGGGCGTCTTTGTCTTCTCCAGCTTAATTGGTCAGGTACATAAAAAAAAAAAAAATCAATAACAAGTTATATTCAAATTACTGTAATATAATGATAATATATTCAATTTAATGGAGTACTTTCTGGGAAAAAAAAGTTTAGATTCCATCCTGTATTTTAATGTCATCCATATTTATTCTTCTGACAAATACAGGTATTTAATCGGTTCCCTGTTTTGTAGCTCTTTTGAATACAAACTGATTAAAAGCCAAGACTCTGCAGGACACAGATGATTCTTGAAACTATGTATAATTCTTTTTTTTTCTTACAGCCAAGCAGACAATTCCTTGACATTCACACTATGCTACTAAATGTGACATAAAAAWTTTRATTGCTGAATAAGTCATTCTMCTGCCCAATAGAATAATGTTAATGKAAATCCCATGATTTTTGTCAAACTAGAATTCTGATCTCTTCCACAAATTACAATRTATTTGTCAAACTGAAAATTAAGTAGTTTCTATTTCTCTTCGTCAACATTTGGCAGCAGGGGGAAAAAAAAGCCCACAGCACAGCAAATCAGTTATATTTCCAAATGAATATAACTGAAATATTTCTGRCTTGTAACTATTAAACTTGGGCTTTAGATCCACAGTTGTTAAAGCAACTTGCCTCCAGAAAAACAAATGCTGAGGTTTCCATGTGAGACTGCCCCTCTTCAGTTTCTGCAGAAACCATTTCAAACTTTATTTGTCCACGCCTGTTATAAAATGAATTATTTAAACAAAAAAAAGAAAGAAATTAAAGCTGAAATTTAATTCTTATTTTARCTACAGCATTTAAAAAGTTTAATCAAGCAGTTAGAGATTGCATATGTCTCTTGTTCATTAGAAGTGCAAGAGTGCAAATGTCACCAAAGAGACTTTTCCCTAAAAGACTTAAAATTCCTCCATACACCAGAATTATCAAAAATAAAAGCAACAAATATGAAATATTTCATCTGGAAAACTATTGAATTCAAGTATATAGGATTAAACTTCAGAGTTTCCATATTTKTAATTCTTCCCTAAATTGTTTTAACTACCTATGAAAGCTTTGTTTTGCCAAGAAGATTTTGCAGATTACTTTTTGTAACCAGTGTAGCCATTGGCACTCTCAAACTTTAAACCTTAACACACAAACTGCTTCATTGCAGTTTGTTTAATTCCTRTTTACAAAGAACCCTTAAAATTATTGAGTTTTTCCTGCTTTAGAACACTTCCCTAAAAATTRTTATTCCCATTGCAATCAATTGTATCTCTGCAATAAAGAACAAAATTCAGCCCACAGCACATTAATCCTTGGCAGCTGCCACATGAAGCCATCCCACTAAAGCCACACCTGAATACTTATTCTTTTGAAGAAGGAATATCTATGAACATTAACTCATCCACTCTCTAAAAACTGAATTACTTTTGCATTGAAATGTTAAATGATGTTCCTGCACTAAAAACTTTAAGGTCATCTTTCMGCTCGCAGAGCTTATGACTGATCTCTTAACCATTTAAATGGTGGCACAATCTTAGTTCTAATGGTGTCAGATGATGTTATTAGAGAAATTCAGCCCAATTTTCTTCACTTCAGACTTGCATTGCATGCCAAATGCAGAGTAACTTACTTTGGATTTTTAAGAAAAGCATTATCTATAATTTCTAGAAATATGAGACAGAAGAATAAGCTAAAASCCAGAAATGATTCCTCTAAAAAGATAATGTTACACTTTCCAAGACAATGAGAATAAATCTTTGATATTTCTGAAAAAGATGAAGCAACTATTCAAGACATGAGGCTGTTTCAATAAATCAATTAGCAGATGATTTTGCAAAGAGCATTCTATTATTTATATTTGCTGCTGACAAAATATTAAAATCAAGGCTATTTTTGCTGAACTGTGCAGTAACAACAATTGATGTTTGCAGATGAGAGATGTAATTGGAGCAGCAACAGCAGGACAGAACTATTTTCGTTCCTGTGTGGACAACACCGTCTCCTATATGAACACCTATTCTATTCCAAAATTGGTGCAAAATCGTGTCAGAACTTGGTATGAATACACATGGGACTCTCAAGGAATGCTGGGTAAGGATATACAATTCCATTTACTTCGCATGTCTGAGTGGGAGTGGTTGTACAGATACACATATACAGTGAAATTCACATTGCTCCTTCCCTAAATTACATGTGGTAAGTGAGAGGAGGCTGCGAAACTTACTTTGGAAAAGAAAGAAACTACAAAGCAATATGATTTTTACTACTTCACRAATTCTGTTCATTAATACAATGTTTTGGTAATAATTTTAGACAAGATATATCAAGCATCTTAGCAAAAGTGTATCAATTGCTTCCTCACTTGAACTCATAAATGTTAGGGAAACTCCATTAAGTTATTTTTGCTCATTTTTGTGGACATCCTTTCGTTCATCTTTTTTTTTTCTCTCTCTCTTTCAGATGAATCAGAATTRCTGGAGCAGATGCCAACCAAAATGCAATTGGCAATCGCAATTGATGTGAACTTTGCCATTGTCAATAAAGTGGACTTATTCAAAGCAAGTAGTTTTACAGGGGAATGTAGAAACATGCTWTATTTTTGAGACAGAAACTTTGCATTGTGCATCTTGGAACATTTAAGTACACATGTGTTAATCAGCAAGGCAAATAAGAAATGTCTCAATTAATGGCAACATGTCAGAACAAACCCAAGAGCCTGCCTTTGGATTTCTGTTGTGTCAAAGAAGTGATTTTCAAAAAAAGAAAATGAGATTAAGACAAAGTTCTGTTATTGTGGCATATTATAGCTGATGGTATGGGCAGACAGAGAGTTCAGACTGTAAATAATCTCCAGAGTCAGAGAATAATCTAATTTTAACAYAGTCCACCTTGCTGTGGCTGTCCAGATCTGCCTGAGAGATCACTCCGCTATGTGTTCAGGCAACAGTGTTGGCGTAGTGAATGCTGTGTTGGAGTCAGCTGTTGTGTAAAGGAGCTTTCTCTTTGCTTACTGTGGGAGCTTTCCAGAGCTACAATTTAAATGTGTACTTAAAACTGCATTTCTGACACCAACTGAGTTTTTAGAAGGACACACAACAAATTTTCTTGTAAGGATATTTCTAAGAAATCACATGATATATAATGTATAATGTATAAACACTACAGGGCTGTATGGTTTTCCCACACTTGTTGCAGACATGGAATTCACGGGCTCATAGCAACATTTGACATGATCCATTTTTTTCTCCTGGATCAGTTAAAAACAAACAAAAAATTCATAAGATTCCCATAAAAGACACATAAAGCTCTGAATGTAACGTTAACTAAGCTTCCACAGAAAWTTTGGATCTACAGAAGCTCACTTTRTAAGAAATGAAAATATATTCAACCCAAAGAAAGCTTTATAAGTACTTGAAATACCGACTCTTTCAGTCTTTTCTCAGCTCTAATAACTGATCTTTATGATGTTTTGAGTTTCCATTCCACTTATGGAATCCCTGGGTTATTCCTGTGTTGCTGGGTTTTGAGGCACTAATAGTCACTTTTAATACTGAATTAACAGAGTGATCAACTCTATTTTAACAGGGCTGTGATACCCAGATGATATACGACATGCTGCTGAGGTTGAAATCCATTGTGTATTTACCTGGTGACTTTGTCTGCAAAAAGGTGAGCATTCCTGTCTTGTTCAAATAATAATTATATTATATATTTTAGAAAAAGAGTTCAGATATCGGTCAACAATGTCCCTTAAATAAATTAATCCTTACTGAATTAGACAGCATAAAATTAATTAAGCTACTCTGTGTAATAACAACAAATGTGCTCTCAAATTTCAACTTAAAACAAGACAATATGGATTTTATTACTCAGATTACTAAACATGAAATTATAGAAATATGGGAAAGTATTTAATGCAAATATAGCTTATCTRATGGTACCTCATGAAATTTTAATATTTAAAATGGATCAGACTTAATGTTTCTATATTTATATACACACAAACACAGCCTACAGATCTCAGTCTATGAGGCTTTGTCTGTGCTCCTCATTTGTGTACTCACTCTTAAATAGAATTATCCAAGAGTGTAGAATGTACAGTCCATTCCACAAAGCTCCTCAAAGCAGGATCTGCTCTACCTTCACTCCCAGCTCTGAGCTATCYCAGGCTTCCAGCTGAAAGCTGTCACACTGTCCCTTAGAGATGTCAGTCTTCTCTCTACATTTTACTCCAACCTGGCCAGACAGGATATTCACAGGTAAATAGCTCAGCTGCTGACCAGTGAGCCCATCCCTTTGCAGAGGCCATGGAAACAGAGGGCAAAGATGGAATTAAAGCTTGGGGAGATGAGGTGTCAGCACTATTACTGCTCTGKCAAGTGACACACAGGGCCCACCACGTCCTGAAGTGACCATCAGAACCCTTTGCCTCTAGCATTTTGGTCTAACATGTTCACTAATGTCCTAGTTAAGCACACAATCCTCCTCTGGAATGCTGGGCTAGCTCCACTGGTTCCACAGTGTAGGAAGTCAAACATTTGTGAACACACTGAAGGATCGAGTGTCGCCTCAATGTCCAGCCCCAGAATTGCTGCTGGCTAAGAAGGGTGGAAGAGCAGTTTGATGTGTTTGCTTATACAATGCACAGCATGAAAGGATCTTAGACTGCAGGTGAGACTCTGTCACAACAGARAGAATAAAGAACAGTAACAAATCCAATGTCTTGATACTGCAGTGAGATGTAAAAGGTTCTTAACGAAGATGGATTATAAGAAATTGAAGTATTTATGAGAAATTGAGGTATCAGCTTATTATAGGTAGATTCAGAGCTAAAAGTTCTTTCTTTTATAACTCTGCTATGTGACCAACAACCATAGCAAAATCCTATAAAAAAACCTGTTGGAGCCACCTTCCCCTTGGATGTTTGTTGGTCTCAGCCTGCTTCACCAAGGCGATGCTGCACATGGGCCTGGAGGATCAACTGAAGAGACAGGAATTGCAAGTCCCTACATTCTCAGTCCTGGCTTTGTTGCTGCTACTTTTAAAACTGAATTGCTGCTTTGCCTCACCCTCTGCTTTTGAGAGAGTAGAAATATGTATTTAAATAAGAATCTCTCATRTTATTCTAACAACAAAAACCACTGCTAAAACACGGGTACTTTATGTGTTTGCATGCCCAGGGAGAGATTGGCAGAGAGATGTACATCATCAAACAGGGTGAAGTTCAAGTCCTTGGAGGCCCTGATGGTACCAAAGTGCTGGTTACTCTAAGAGCAGGAGCTGTGTTTGGGGAAATCAGGTAGGTCCATCACTAATTTTAATATTTTATTTAGAACTTGTGAAATAATCAATGGTTGTCTAATTTCTCTGTGGTCAGCACGACAGCTATCATGGGGAGGCTCGAAATATGACACTGAGCAAGGAGATGTGGGAAGTGAAGGAAAACCTAAGTGAAGCATCTGTGATTAATAGGGCAAGATCTGAGAACAGTGTTTTGATCAATGTACACATGTACACAGACAAATTTCTTTAGCATTTTAAAGATTAACCACATTTCCATGTTATGCTGTCTGCAATACAACAGGATCAAATGAATTTTATTGTCTGTTTAGCAAGCCTAGGTGCCCTAAAACAGCACTTGGCAAAGATGAAAATTAAACAGATGCAAAAATCTAAAACAGCAACTAAAAATAGTTTATTTAGGAGCTGAAATAGGAACTAATTTGCTGAAAATCAGACATCCCAATTTGGAAAAGTATGTATTTAAGAACATGCAAGACAAGAAAAAGGTGGATAAATCAGATTTTGTTGTCTGAGTTTGTCCAGATGAGAATATTTTTCTGGTGGCTACAAATGTTTTATATATTCCCCATGTGCTTGCTATGCAAAATCCATTAACTCTTATGTGCTATGTTCCCCAATTAGCCAATCAAGCAATAGTTTTTAGGCACTGTGCCCCCCTGCTGAGATTGGCCTGAGGAAAAGTAATAAAATAAATGTTCTGCTGCATGTGATAAACTGGATCCTTGGTTTCTTCCAGCTGCCTTCCCATTATTGTTAATCCTCTTGCTCGTAGCTTTAATCTGCCTTTTGAAAAGCAATAATCAGCTCTGTGCCAGGTTTGTCTTCCAGTTGAGTCTCTCTTTGCRGCAGTGGAAACATTCCTGTTTATCCAATGATGTGAGTACAGAACTCACTTAGACACCAAGTGGAAAACATCAGATACACCTCATGGTTACARAACTTTTTTATTAAGTGGGAAAGTGAAACTGTATCAGCTCTTTGAGAGGTTATTTGGAAAGTATTTCTCTGTGTGACAATACAACACCTGAGCAAAGCCTCAAAAAAAGGCTGCATTGTAAGTTATGCTAAAAGACAGAGAATSAACTCATCAGTAAGGACTGAATAATGAAAAGACGAAGGAAAAAGCTAAAGCRGYCCCCATATGTAACACACACAYGGTTTTCAATTATTTATTAGTCTCGTATTTGAAGTGAGAGCTTTGTATTTTAAGCTGAGAAATAATAATGGTTGGTTTTAAAACAAGTAAGGGATTTTCACACTTTTGATCTAACACAGGTGAGTGCTCATTTCCACGTGAGAACCACACAACGACCTTTAAAGATTCATTKCCCAGCACGTGTTACTCTTCACATAATTGCCAATATGGCCAGAAAAGCCCTCAGCAACGCTATAACACTACACTTCCATTCTTGTTTTATTCATCACTGACCTACTGCAGCAGCAAACCCATTCAGACACGTGTAATTTGCATATAAAATGTCAGGCAGTGGATAAACTTGAGTAAAAAAGCCACAGCAACTGGCAGACATGAAGCACGAAGCGTATCAGAGAAGATATGCTCTTCCTCGTGGCAAGGTGTTAGAAAATAATGAGTTTGTATTGTGCTTTTCTATATAAATTTTGTCAAGGCCTTCTGAATACAGAATACCAGAAGCAAATGGAAAAAATATTCTTTAATGCATTACACACTACTTCTTTTAGGACATCCAAGTTTTCCTCTCACTTCATAATGGTTATAACCTGATATCAGGCWGATTTCCTTCTGATTTCCAATTCAAGATTTGTTTAGAGAAATATGTTTGCTTCCTTCTGAGTGGTTTAGGTACATGATTTATAAGATGCTTGTTATTTAATCTCACTCTGTTCAAAATGCATGTAAATGWTTCTAAAAAGTCTCCAGGGGCAAAGAAATTCAAGAAAATAAAAACTGTTTCTTTTCCAAAAAGTTCCCTGAATATACTAGAAGGCCAATGCAAAAGTAACAATCAAACATGTCCTTTGCCAATTTGACCCTTGAAAATTACAGAAAAGGATTAAGTAATAGKAGTTCCAATTAACATCTTACCCTCACTGCTACTTTCCTGTATAGATAATATCAGTTTGGGGAAGTAAAATAATTTCAGAGTCAGAAGCAAACAGATTGTTGTCTTAATGAGAGCCTGCCAGCTCTCAGACAAATCAGAACGAGAGAAATTCAGAAAGAAATAACARCACTTCATTAGCCCAGAGAAAGTTACACTTGAAGCCAGATGTCCTCGTTCATCCATTTACKGGTATTTCACTGGAGCTATTTCCCATCAGAAAATGTTAATTCTGGAAAAACTACAACATTTCTCCATTTTATGTAAATTTTTGACAGGAAGCTCTCTAAATGTTTGATCTCAGCTTCAGCTTTCAGCTGTTTTGTAGTTTTAAAATTTATATTAAAAATCAGAACTACAGGGAATATTTATGAAAGATGACACTTTCCATTACTTTGTTCCAGGATTTCCCTCAAGGTGGTAGCTGCTGCTTTTCARTGAGCTCTGCCCTTTGGCATCCTGCTCAGAAGCAAGATCCAGACCCATTTCCCTTTCCTGACTGACCAGTTCTCCTCACATTCACACAGGTGCCAATCTGAGCCACCACAACCCTGATAACACAAGCCATTCCCTAATTCCAATGAACAGCAGCTTCCTATAGACATCAGCTTTTAAAAAAAGAAAAAGAGATAAGCTGAGTCATCGCTTTGACAACTTCATAGCCTGAAATTTCATTTGCTAGCATAAGAATCCTTAGACTATCAACTTGTACTAATATTACAGCATTTCACACTCACAACTGGAGTAAAAAATGTTAAATTAAAAGGGCAAATTTTGTGATTAATATAGATATTAATTAATATTACCAAGAACTAATGTAAGGCAAAAGTATCTGTTTTAAAAAAAAWGTTCATATATATAATTCTTCACACACTAACCAAATCAGATTGAATGCTGATTTACCTAACATTGTCTTTAGTCAAAGATGATTCTGTTTGAGCAARGACTGCTTTACTTGTAAAATTCACCTCACAACATCACCATAATGAAAAAGCTGATCTCTTTAGTCCTCGTCTACCTTGATAAAATGAGCTTTCTGTTAGGAAAGCCTAAAAATGATTGTTCAATGACTTGTTGAGAAATGATTCAWCAGAGCTCAAAAGATGTTTGCAATTTTCTTTAGCAGTTTTTCCTATTGTGCAAAGAGTTTTATTCTATGTGAGGAATCATGTGGAATTGTTTAAAAAGAAGACGATAAACTGCATTTTCAGCTTCAGTTCATGTATTGATTGCTGTCTTGAGTTGCAGAAAAACACCCTGTGGGCATGTAAAAATAGCTTTGCACAAACTGTTGCAGAGATCTCCTGCTATCCTTTATAAATTAAATGTATTAGCTATATGATTCAATAGTTAGAAATGTATTCTATAAATATCTTCAGTGTTGAAACAAATATTTATATAACCTTGAYTATTACTTCAGATGGGTATCAGCTCCTGCTTACTGGGGCCCAGACTATCTTTTATTAATACATTTTGAATTTAAAKAATACTAAATGTTCTCTAAAAATATTAATTCACTGAGATATCTTTAAAGGACAAATTTTAGGGTAGATCTTGAATACAAGATAGAGCAATTTTTGCACTAAGAGCAGAATGAAAATTCTCTTACATATCAGCACAGCTGAGAAGTGAAGTCTCTTCAACTGCTTAGTGTAAGGTGATCAAGTTATTTTTATTTGTACATTTATTTTTTTTTTTATATATCCTCCCTCTGGCCAACTGCTGCTGGCTAAACTGGTCTAACGCCTTACATTCAAAACAAAATAGCCTTCTTTTTCTGGCACACAAATTTGTAACTGTCAGCCTGAAAGACCTTCCTAATCTGTATCATTCAACTTGCCAACATTGCAATGTGAGATGTGGTGTGTGAGAAAACTGAAAACTAGAGCCCCACAGAAAATGAAAATCCTCAGAGGAGAAYCACTCATTTACTGTAAATAATGCTGCTCTACTTCTGATGCAAATAATTTCCAGCAATAAAACGGAGGAAATGTTGAGTTCACATGAGGATTAAAACAAGTGCAGGCCGAGCTGCAGGTATCTCTTAGCAGAAAGGTCTCTACGTAGCAGATTTTTTCACAGTCCTTAGCGTCTATGCATGCCTGACCAACAGTGACGATTTGCCTTCCCGAAGCAAGATGACATTTTTAATTCCACCTGCACAGGGCCTTTACAGAACACTGGATAGAACAGCTGCCTGTTTTGTTGAGCTTTACAATGACTGGAGAGCCACCAGCAAAGAGATTCCTCCCTAGGGTAAAGAATGCTGTGACTGATGGTGTTTGTTTTCATTCCAGCCTCTTAGCTGCAGGTGGAGGAAACAGAAGGACTGCCAATGTGGTGGCTCATGGTTTTGCCAACCTCTTCATTCTGGACAAGAAAACACTCAATGAAATCTTGGTGCACTATCCTGACTCMGAAAAACTCCTCATGAAGAAAGCAAAGTATGTTCTATTAGTGGTTTTAAAATCATATCATTTAGCTGCAGAATGGACAGTTGTGGCTTCTAGATGATTTGCATTCCTTTCCTGGAAGAGTAACACTTTTGGTATTGAGAGGCCAGATGTGCCTGGTAGTTTCTAGTGAAAAGCAAGGTCTTGGAAGGGATCCCGTGGGTTTTGGAAATGGGGTAAGTAGAATGAAACCCTGAATGTAGTTGTCTTCTGCATTGTATTTAAGGTAACAAAAAACCAGGAGATAAGGATAATAATGATATGTATCAGGACTCCTTACATGGCCAAGAAAGAAACTGCAGGGCAGGTATCAGTCAAGGAGTAGGTTTGCAAAGATGCAACCAAACACCTGCAATTACTTCAACAGAGATATGCTTCAAAACATCCACAGACTTGTATGCATTTCYAAAACCTTAAGCAGCAGTTAGGAATGGGTTTAAAGTAAGTCCTGTAAAGATGGAACTACACAGATTAGATATCCCTGCATTTTGTTCAAAAATATTCCTAAATGGAATTTCAAACCAAAAGTGCTTTTCACCTTCCTTCGGCTGCAGTTTGCTAGGATCACCATTTTCCCAGCTTTGTCAAAGCATTGTCAGATTTTGTCATAAAATTGTGACAAAATTAGTACCTTACTACCTTGTAAAAAGTCCTAATACTTGAAACAGTTTGTCATTATTAGTGTAATTCAGCCATCTATTGTTCTCAGCTATTGCCTTGAATTGTTATCAAAGGTTGGAAGGTTGGTCCCAGAYTTGAAATTCCACCAGAGAAGACTGAACACAGCACAGAGGAGGCATTTTGTTTTGTGAAAATGCTATGAAATAGCTGCATTCAGCCTGCTGTAACAGCCCTGGTAGTCAAATAACAGTATCTTGAGAATCACAATGCCCCTGAGGAACAAGGAACCCYGAGACAGAAAAGGCTGATTGCTCAACTTTCAAAACTAGCATTAACAGTCAGAAAAGTGGAACAAATCCACTGATGGATCATCTCCAGCATCTATCATTCCTGACTTTTCTTCAGCTTCTATCTAAACAGCAGTATGACAATCATTCCTTGTTTTTCCTGTCTCTCTGTCCCACACTGCCTCTTCTGCTTTCTTGCCCACCCTAGCCATATTCTGCCAATCCATTAAATTCTGCCAATCCATTAAATTCTGCTTCTTCTGGACAGCCTTTCTCAAGCAAGATGCTTAGTCATCCAGCTTTTGTATCTGCACTCCCATTTGAGCTCAAAGACCTCTCTATATATCAGACTAAAAGCAGGATATCCTGTTTAATTTGAAAGATTTGCAATCCCTGCCCTGGGTAGGAGGCCATGTGTTTTGCTCACCTGTCTAGGCAGCTCCAAATTCTGACAAAACTGGGTACTGAAAGGAAATTTTTGTGCTGTTTTCATAAAGCTTGTAATAACATTCAGTTTTGGAACGAAGTTACCAGTTGCTCTGCCCTGAGAGGTTTACATTAGAGTTTTCTGTGGTCATCTGATGTCTTTAAAAGCTTCTTGAAACAAATTCAAAGCATTTATTCAAGCAAGAAACTTGTTCTGTTATCACCTGCCCTATATCCCCTATCTGGTTTTTACATACTAAGGCCATGCAAGATGCTGAAGTGTATTTTTTTTTAATTTATAACAATGAAATTTAACAAAAAAAAAAAATAAACCCTTCATTTCTGAAATTCCCAAAATATAACAAGCTGGAGAAAATCATAGCATTATGAGATTTACTGTGCTTCAGACTGTGAGTATAACCCGTTGCTCATAAAGAGCCTTAAGTCAGGGCATTTGCAAGCATTGAAAAGCGGCCTTGAAAATTGTACAATAATCTAATAAAAACTGAAAGCATGGGAACCCACTGCTTTTCACTGATCTATCTCAGATCTTTCATCTAAATTTTACCCTTGTTATTCAGTCTCCCTTCTTGTCATTGTGGCTGCAAATAATGCCGTGGAATGGTGTGAAAATCAAGTCTGCTATGCMACTGGCAGTAGTGTTTGTATCGTCAGGGTGTCTTCTTTTGCCAAAAACCAAAAATAAATACCCCTGTCTMACCTGACCTACGAGTGATGAGCCATGTGGGAAGTTAGTTTGGTAAAGTATTTCTTCCACAAGTGGTGACTGATTCCCAGTGGAACACTAAATGCTCTCTGAATTTGTATCCAGAAGGCCAGGTAAGAGACTGCCACTTCAGGTATGKGGCACCCATACTCCACGCCTTTTCCTTCCTTGTTAAATTTCCATCTGTTTTGTGACACCTTAATTTGAGCCAGCAACTGTTTATACTACAAGATATAGGTAAGCAACTCCAAATTTGAACAGTTGCTTCCAACTCTATCAGAGCCTAGGACAAAACCTTTAATATTTCCAATTTTGCTCTTGTCACTGGACCTGGGAACCAAATAAAAGCCACCAGATTGTCATGCATAAATGTGGCATTTCAGCTTTGCAGGAACTTTGCTCAGTTTCACAGCACTGCTGTGTGTTCTTATTCCCTTCTCCAGGGTGCTGCTGAAGCAGAAGGGGAAACCTCCTCCAGGACCACCAGCGCCACAACCMCGGGGCTTGGCCAGTCTCTTTGGGCAGAAACCAGAAACTCCGAAATTGTTTAAAGCAATGCTTGGAGGAAAAGGAAAAGACGGCCTTGCTAAGCTGCTGCAGCTGAAGAGACAGCAAGAGGTAAAGCCACAGAAAACAGAGTAGAATCTACTGAGAGGACTTTTAGGCAGAGTAGATGAAAATTTAGCCTTAGTGTAATCAAGAGCAAAAACTCYCAGTAGCTGAGATACAACCACTTATCTTAATCTCAGTAAACACACATTCTAAGGTTTGGCTCAAATCTTTCAGAACCTGGACTTTATGCAGACTAGGGAAAAAAAAAGCAAGGGAAAAAAGGAAGCAAACAAAAAAAACTTTTAAGAAAGTAAGGATAAAATACATTTTACAAAGGCCCTGAGGGCATCTGATCTTCTAATTTTATGTAAACAACAGTAAATACAGAAATACCCAAACATAGTAATCTGATCCAGCTGACTCGGGCACTCAGTGAACTTTCCAATTCAGTGTCAGATCTCTGGTTGTTAAAAATCCTGAAGACAAAATATAAAGTGTAGCCCACACAGCTAAAACTGATTAAATCTCTAATATCTTACACTTATGAGAAAACTGTTATTTTAACTGATGAAAAATAATTCCCACATTATACTCTGTTCTGAGAAATGCTAATGTTAATAAGAACCTGCTCGCTTCTACAAATTTACCCAAAGGTGGCAGAAGTATTTTCTTTATAGATGAAATAGCTGTGGTTATATTTAATTTAAATAAAGGGCTTTGCACTTTGTTTACACAAATGACTACAACTCTACGATTGGAGCAGAAATTCTGCTCAGTTTAATGTGTATTTGTGAACTTAATAGCAAGTATGCCTGGCCAGGGATTTGGGGCAGTGGGAAGTATGTCAAGATTTACGTAATATTCTCTTTTCTCCACTGGGGTTAAGTAGATAAAGGAAGGCAAGACCTAAGGAAAGGTTCTGTGCCCCCAAACAGGCCTGTTTCCATCTCTCTGTATTAGTAAGAAGCAGGTACTATGAGTATCCACAAGTTTTTACTAGGTKTTTTACTGATATTCTGATTCTGAAATTGTATTTTTCATTTAGAAACCAATTTTCAGCATCCGAACAGGAATTTACATGTGTTGCATTCCATTAATACCATGAGCATGTTGCCATGCTGTGCCTTTCTGTGGCATGTAGAATAGAACTCCTTTGTGAGTTTCTTCTGCAGTACTGGAAAACATTTAAACTTCTTATTTCTAGGACACTCAAGATGAACCAGAGTCCAAGCCTAAAGAAGAAGCGAAGCCGCCTGCAGAGCCTGCAGCCCCCTCTAAACCCCCTGCTCAAAAGGAAGAGCCAAAAGCAGACAGTAAGCCTGCAGTAATGAAGAAAACAACCAGTAAGGAGTCCCTAATCATTAGTATGACACCATCCCCCAGAGCAGGAGAAGGGGAGATCCTTAAAGTTGAAATTAAAGAGAAAGAAAAGAAATAGAACATCTACTGTTTTGCTACATTCAGAGGGCTGGCCGGACTTTGCTTTTGGGTATAGAAGAAAACAGTAGAGACTACTCTACTGAGACAAGTGTACTCCAGCTCCTCTTCTTCTCGCCCTCCTCTCCTGGCACAACTGCACAAATTATTTACATTCTCGACCTTAACACTGAAGAGAGAACTTTTGGTGTATTAGCAATTAAGGCTCAGACTGTATTTCACGACCACTTGTTTCCTCTTTCACCCATGGTCTCCCTTTTGTCTTACTCTTTCTTGTTCCTACTTCTCCTCTTCCCTGTCCTCTTTATCCTTGCTTTTTTACTGCTGTTCCTGTTGCTCAGTCTGCTCTTAACTTTTGTATATATTCTTTTCTGTTTTCTCCTCTGCCTTCCCATAGTTATAATCTTCCTTGCTATTGCCCTCCTGTTGCTAAGGTTTATTATATTTCTGTCTATCCTCCTGTCCCCTACCCTTATAATTCTGCTCAGTGACCTGGGTTTGTGACCAGCGTGGCTCAGAGAAGGCAGCAGGTGCTGTGTGTTGGGATGTTTTACCTTGGGACAGAGGGCAACATAACAAAACCATTGTCAAAAAATAAATCACAAAATCCACAAGAGGGAAGCAGATTGCAGAACTACTGCCAACCCTCTGAAAGCATAAACATCTGCTCCAGCTGTCTTTGATTCTGGCAAATTAACATGGGAAAGWCTCAGACAGTTCACCCTCCAGAGGTGACCTGTAACTTTAGGCTGCTGATTTACTTGCTTGATCTTGTCAAGGGGTTGGGCATGCTCTGAAAAGTAAGCAYTTGATATGGCTGTCTGAAGAATCTRAACCAGCCCCTTCAAAAATAAMGGTTAATTTATAAAAGCAGGATTTACACTTTCTGGCTTCATCCAGTGCTTCAACCATTGCTCCAATTGCTCGTCTATATTGTAGGCTTTGACTAATGGTTCAAAGATAAACCTGTCTCTTCCATGACTTCGCTATGTCACACTTGTGAACTACAGTAAATCCTTTATGGTTTTCCCAGCTGCAGGACACAGCCTCCCAGCCAGGAGCTCCCACAYTGCCAGCCTTCTGCATCAACTCATCAGTCTCAGATGCAGCATTACATAAAAGCTTGAAGCTGTGTTTTAACCTGAACTCCCAACTACTTTCTTCTCTTTCATGGATTTCCTTTTTTTTTTCATGCATCTCCTCTCTCTCCCAATCCCCTTTCAGACCCCACTGGATGAACAGTTTTATAAACTAAAAACCTTATGCAGAGGCCAAGCCAAGAAGTGGTAAGGGCAGGCTTCACAGCTCCTTGGCTGACCAGCCAACTAAGGAAGGCAGCATGCCAAAATTAAACACTCACTTTGCAGCCTATAGATGATCCTGCAGGCTATGCATTCTGTAGGCTTCTGCTTTAAAGCTTTTCAGCTTCTGTAATCAYAGGCAAAGCTGGAAGCCTAACCAGAATCAGTGGGAAGTTTGCCCAAGTAAAAGCTGGATGACTAAATTCTGTATGTTGTGTATTCCACAAATCCTCTGATGTGACCAAAACCCTAATCTCTTTCAAAGTAAAATTCTGCTGCATTAACAGTGAGGTGAAGGCTCAACAGTTTTGTGGAGAAAAACATGTTTATTTGTATGCTACTTGTTACTTGATATGTAAGAAAAAAAGTACATCACAACACAGGGAGAAAATTTTAATTTTTTTCATAAAGAATTATTCATCTATTGCACATTCAGGACTGTCTCAAAAAAAYCTCAAGATCAGAAATACTGCAGAACTGTTTCATGAATGAGGCCTATGAATAATAATTATCTATGAATTCATTACAAYATAGTTTCACATCTTTCTTTGAGAYGGARTTGTCAAAGCATTAYGGAAGGAGGAAAAAATATTCCCCATAYTTTAACATTTATATATAAATGAGTAAAGCTCACTCTCATTGAAAAGAACCAATTCCCTTCTGCCTACACAAATGCTACCAGGTAATTTTGAACGTTTTCCCTGTGGGCATATTTAAGTTCATCAATCAYACACTGACATAAATTACAAAGTAAGGGCTGAGACTGCAGCAAGTGCTTCACTGCAGTGACAGAGCTTCTCACAAATTGCTGCTTTGCTACAGCTCGTAACAGCCCAAGACTGCAGGAAAGTCTGGCAGTTCTGTCTGCAARATTACTAAGTTATGCACAGCTCTCRAGTTTCTTAGATCAAAACAAAAARGGGAAGCATCAGTGCAGAAGACAGTGGCCACATGTAAATAACATCCATCTGGTTTGCTCCAACATCCTATAATTGTGTTGTTGGGGCATTTTCCCCTTCCCACAAATCCTCCATTTTTAGAGTTAGCTCCAAGAAGCAAGAAGGCTCCGCAAAGTTGCAAAGTTGCAACTATTCGTATGATTTTCACCAGAAGGAACAACACAAGAAAGGTCAAGTGTAAGATGTAATAAATCCCTCCAGGAACTAATTCCACCCTGTAGATTCCTGACTAGTGGAGATGCAAAATGAATTACTCTGGTGCATTCAGAAGATGCAATTCCCAGTATCAAAGCTGTGTCAGGTTCTGTGTGGCATCATATTCCCCTGCAACACTGYCTCCCGTCTCTCAGTGTCCCAATTGAGTCTCTCAGACTTGACTACACTTGAATGTAAAGAAACTGAAGGGTGGAATAGGATAATGTACTTAAAAATTGCAAATAACCACATCTCTATGCCTCTCTACAGAAAATGCAGATATTGTTCTGAAAAAAAGTTTTGGAAAACCAGATAATAATTGTACAAAGTAGCATATGTGGGAGAACTCTAATGTGGCACAGAGATATGAAACAGCCACAGTTAAAACTGTCCAATTTCAGAATATCTTCTTGCTAAAAGTCAGTTAAAAGTGCTTAATTTGAAGAAGAAAAATAAACTGCAGAATCATAACAACTAAATGGAAAGGAATTTTTCCTCTCATCCGATAATAATTGTTATAAATCCGTGGCATACTCACCATAGGAATCACAAAAGCAGCATTTAGCATKACACATAACATGCTGAATACAAAAMCACAACACAACAGTATACTGAAATGATTATTTTAATGCAATCATTTAACTTCATCAGAACCGAAATACATAGAAAAGTACAAAATTCTGGTTACAGGTGAGCTCTCTGCTGTACATATGTATATATTATGACCAAAAAATGGCAAAAAGCATCCGGTGACAAAGACTGCCATACATCACTTTTATCACAAGGTGGTGCCAGTGACCTACAAGCACATTTACTTTACAAAACCTGGACAATATTTTGCTTTGTCACCCTCAAGCTATTAATGCATTTTTTTACACATAAAAATAAACAAACAAAAAATGCAAAACAACACAGTAACTCCTCTTCCCCTTGACTCACAATCTGCTGCATTTCTTCACTCAGAATATCACTTCAGACTACCCTGGAAGTTTTCAACAGGCATTACTGTTGATCATCATTAGGTGTACACCTGTAAGTTATACCAGTTCTTGCCACTGCCCTGTCTGAAAYGATTTACAAAGAATAGGGCACATTGAGAACTAGGAGTCGTTGATATGCTGCTGAACTCCTTAAGCTTGAGGAACATGSCAGCAATAAGAGACAAAGAAGTCTCTAGAAACTCAGAATTTTTATATAGAATACAGAAAAACAACAGGTTTTCTTTTACATGCAGCAGATAATTAGTATGATAATACCTACTTACACGTTTAAATGCTCTTCCATGGCAATGTAAATCAGAATTGGGAACACAAATCACAAATTCAGGTGCAGCATTATTTTTGGCAGACAGCTCAGAGGAACTTCAGTAGTATCCTGTACTCCTTTCAGTAGTACCATCCACTTCAATTAATGTAGACAAAGGATTAATACTGCATCCAGTTATCTCTGTACATGAAGCATATAGCTGTGGAACAATTTACTCTTCCAAATTATACACTCTCAATTTGCAGCACTTTGATTTAGGTTTATTATAAAAAACTTCCTTGATTTTAATACTTTAAGTTGCATATCTGACACTTCAYTGTAATTTATATATAAAGTAGTAACAGATTTGCACTGCACTGATAAAAGATGATTATAGATTTTTTTACATAAATATATGATTTACATTCAAAAAAAGAGCTTGGCTTAATATTAAACAAAGTCTCTTCCTTAGTATTTCACTACTTGATAGCATTTAGGGTGTCCTTTCACCAAGAAAATCGAAGTGTAGATAAATATATTCATTTACGATTGACTGATAAATGTCAACTGTCTACAAGGTATGTCTTCTGTAAAGTAAAGTAATCTCAATACATGTATCTTTTATTCATCAATGCTAACATGAATTCAGACTTTTGACAGATTGTACATGCAAGAAAAAAACCCCAAAAGCACACCAAGCAGTTCCAGCAATTGAAGTCCCATACACTATGACCTGGTGAAATCCCGAGTGTCCAAGTGTGCTAAATTTAGCATTATCCCATTCTGTTCTTACATACTACCAGTAGACCATCCACATGAGATCAGTTGGATGTCTAAACCACTTCAAATGTGAATTAATGTTCAAGACTGACATTTCAAAAGTGATAAATGTGACCTTTACATCCACTTATGTTACACAGAGTGACAGGGTCAGAAGASATCCTCAGCGAGCAGTATGCAGCTGGGGGACAAGAGACCTTCATCTGTCCACTAATCAAACACAACATGATTTACACTTGGTATAAAAGGTGAAGGGAAAACTCAGCCCAAGTAAATAAACCAGAAATTGTYTGCCTTAGAGAAATAGAGTATGATTATAGCATTAAGGCTTGAGAGACTTGACTTTCTTATGTCTTCCTAAAGGGAGAGAAAAAGGGAATATTGAGGTTTTTGCAGGCACTTTTCATTAGTGAGCTCATGGAAAAACAGCATGATTCAAAATAAGACAAAAGTAAATACACGCAGAGCTTTGAAGAACTGCCTTTACCTCCAAATATGCAGTTGTAAATCAGACAAAACTTTTTAATTAAAAAGTAAATTCCTACTTCACAAAAAGCCCTTTAAAGATCAATAGTCCTGACTGTTTAATGTGGGGGAAAAACCCAAAACTAAATCCCTACCAAGATAAAATCTGGAATTKCCATTTTCCAGTACACTGCACATTGGAACACATCTYACAGTGCTTACAGTAGTAGYCTCAAAGGCCAGTAGTATTCTTCTGAGATGACTGAGGTTTACCTTGTTCCACCCTATTTATTCCCATACTACCTTAAGAGAAGGTAATACTATAAAAGCATATACTTTAATGACTTCTTTGGCTTATGTTCTGAATCTACAGCCCTGAATCCCAGGAACTGCTCAAAGGCACTGAAGTGTGCAAGGAGGACCTTTACACTCTGTGGCACTTGTCTGAGTATAAAACAYCGGTGACCAAATTTTATTATCGTAGTGTAAAGTAACTCTTTTTTCCACTCTTACTTTTCAAAACCAAATGCATCCGTGTAAGCACTATCTCTCAAATCAACATCAAATATAAACACCAGTACTATTTTGGCCCATAAAAGGCACACTTGGCAAAGTGATTTGTAGGCAAAAGCTACAGACATTAGGATACAGAGGCATGTGTACATGTATACAGAAGTATCTTGAGAACCAAAGTCTGTAGATGCAGCAACTAAAGCAAGCACAAAATCTCTCCTCTGCTCAGCCCATTCATTTTGCAGCAGGATTCTTAGGAGGTTGGAGTTTGTAGGTGCTGAAGTAGTTCACCACTTGCTGAGGGACTTCTGCCAGGACACACTGAGCCAGAGCTTCTTTGGGAGACTTATAAAAAAAGAACACCAAGTTTCAGTTTCTGCCCACTGCTAACAGAGATTCYAAGGCAAGTAACAAGCACCTCTTCTAGAAGGCCAACCTAAAGTCTGACATCTTACAGAAGGCTTACACAGTGCCCTTGAGTGACAGACAGAAGCTTCCCTGTCAGCTTTACCTTCTCACTCCTGTTACCAGGAATCAGAGGGATGTCTTGTGCCACTGAAGTGAGAGGAGCTGAGTGCACAAAAGGCAGCCATGTCTGAAGATACCTTTTGTCATTTGAAATACAGATACCAGACTTCAGCCATGTAAACATACGTCCACTATCTGCTTAAGATGGCCCTTACGGGGCTTATCTAAATCATCTGTAATCTTTTGCACCAAGTCTCATCCACAATAACTGTATTTCTATGGAGCAGCTCTTCTGGAGATACTGTTTTTATTGTAAGATTAAATATCAATAAGAAAAAAAGTTTCCTCTTCTAGAATCTTAAAGCATTTGAATATGCAATATTATACTGAATACTGAACTTAGTTAATCTACATCCAAGTGGTTTACTTGATAAGCATATTCTGTATTGATTTTGCTCTCATTTCAGTTTGCCTAAGTTTCTSTAAGATTAAACAAAGAATTTGTATYAAAAGTGAAAACAAAAATACAAAAGCAAAATAAGAAGTTGTAAGGAGTATTACTAACAAGTTAATTARGACATGAAACAAAATTAGAATATATTAGGGTGGAAACAAAAATATTGATCTGATCTTGTCCATCCTAAGGAAATTTTGGTGGTTTTCTTTAGGTCAACTCTTTCCAACAATATGACACTTAAAAGTTGACTTCTGTTAGCCTACACATACTTTATTGGGYTTTATAGAAATTAAAAGCTATAAGGACTTCGTTCTTTCACTGACTTTTTTTGGTATATTTWCTTTCATGAAAATGAAAACTATCATCACTACTGCAGCCACACAGAATTTTTACTGATTATGACCTCCCTGATTATGACTTAGCCTTGAGTTTTAATACTGCACTAAATTGTGAGATTAATCCATATTCACAAATGGGCATCCACAATAAAAGGAAAAATTACCATAAGAACAAAACCATAGTAAGTTCTTCCTCACAAATGAAAAACACATCCATTTGTTTAATCAAGTCTGAGAGAGTTTTACAAAGGTCATTCAGCKGCAGCAGCTAATCAGAGATGCAGTGCTGGAACCAGAAACTTAGGGTTTTTTTGGTTTTTTAGCATCTGATAAAGGCTTGTCTAAGAATCCATCTTGGTGACATTACAAAATCTTAGAACTAGGTGTAGGACATCCTAGGAAGCCCAGCATGCTTCTACAACATTTATCAAGCATTATCAATAAGATTACTTACATTTTGGAACTTCCTGAATGGCACAAACTGGACAATGTCTCTGACAGCTGGYTCTCCTGTCGAGGACCTAAGAACTCCATCGTCACCATCGAGAAACTCCATAGCACTGAAGTCTGCTCCTCCAACACCAACGATGATAATGGACATGGGCAATTTGGAAGCATTGACTATGGCAGTCCGAGTTTGATCAAGGTCTGTTATCACACCATCCGTTATGATCAGAAGTATAAAGTATTGCTGGAAATCAATAAACACCATGTTAGAACAGAAATAGCAAACATTCAGGCACGTGCACTTAGAAAAACACATATACAGACCACATAGTGTTGCCACTTTTGCATACTCAATGTGCTCACTGAATTTTACAATCAAGATCTAATTTGTAGTCAGGCTTCATCTGCACAGTCTGAAGAAGCTTATAAGGACAATATAACCTTTTAAAAGAAAWCATCATTAAAGAGCCACCATCCAAAAACCGCAATGTTATCACCCTTCTTTTCTCAAAAAACCCCAGAAAAACCAAGAGTTAACCTATTTTCCCATTATTTGTTCTGGGATAAAAAGCAGTTTATTGAGGTTTTAGAAAGGTAACATTTGTGAAACTTGTATTTGTTTCCTTTCTGGTCTACCAATACCTTTATGAAACACTACCCTTTATTTCATTCATGGTAGTCCAAAAATTGCAAATCACACCTTTTAGTGTTGAAAAACACAGCCATTTCCAAATTCCTTTAATCATGTTTTCTAGAACCCTCATGAAGGTAATTACAAAAGTGTCTGAGACTACTCTGCAGTACATCAGTAATTTAGTAAAGTAACACCTAAGTTACTTCAACTATTCTGTTGGGACCTCTAAAAGCTGGCATCTTAACTTCTGTTCTGGATTGGAACACCAAAAACGAGCTTGAAGTACAAAGTCTGGAAACTATCAAATGCTTCTAGGATTTCTAGTCTTCCCTCACTTGGTTCATTTGACACTATTACCGAGCAGCACAAATTCAAATTCCAAAGAAACTCCCAATGTTCTTAGAAGTCTCTCGTCAGTACTTTCCTTCCCAGCTGCCTTTATCTACCTCCAAATAATTTTCTTCCCTTATCTTGTCTGTTCAGGTATCACATTTTATCCCTGCCTTCTGCTAGCCCATTCCCCTACTCTAGCAAGCACATCTACAAAGCAGTTATGACCACAGAAAGCTATAAGCAACAGCTGCAGGACAGCATATCACATTGGATTTATTTCTCTCTTCTCATACTTTCTTCCTACTGGAAAAAAAACCCAGCATCAGAATCAAAAGCCAATCCAAAATGACTATGATATGTATTAAATGTCAAGGCAGCAAATTGTCTTTCCTACATCCTTTCAGGTAGGAAAAATAGATCTCTTCCTAAACATATTACACAGTCAGAAATAAAAGTTAAAAGCAAAAMCAAAACTGATAAGAAGTTTGCTACTTTCCTGATATAGACAAATATTGATATAGATAGATACAGATAYAGATATATATGAMAGCTACTAKTGAAAGWCTACCAAGGCAAAACCTTACCAGCCTCATGGCATATGAAAATCCATAGCTCTATTTCAAATTGGTTCCCACAGACAATTTTACATGCAAAAATAGCTAATTTTATTTTCTGATTTTACATGACATCAAATACACCAGTATTTGCTGTCACTAATGACTTAGGATTTTCTCAATTTCCATGTATTATTATCTACATGATTCAATACTCAAGATCTGGTCTTCAGACTTTCTATTTCTAATGCAGTCAACAACTCATGCAAACCATTTTAGTATGGAGGAGGCCACAGCCCATACAGGACCTAAAGCTTTATAGTACAGTTAATTATCTGTATTGGTACCCAAGTATTAGGAGCTATACTATCCACTTCTTCACTACCTTAGTTAATTCTCTCTCTCAGCTATCTGATGTGAAACAAGGTCTAGTTGATTTTTTTCTCAGCTGAGGTTAAATCATTCTCTTATATGTAAAGGCTTAAATTAGACTTTAATCCTGTGCAATACTGCAAGAGATTTGAACAGAAGATACCATAAAGATGTTGTGTATTTTTAAGATTCTATTTCAATCTAAAGAGTTTATTTAGTTAATTGATGAGAGGGCTGCAAAAAACTTTTTATCTTTTTTAAGAGTAACAAACATTTATTCACAAAATAAAGGACCACCTGTCACACAAGTACACTTACAAATTTAAAGARAAAAGTAGTATTTATAAACCAGACGGAAAATAAAAAAGTAAGAAAAACACACACAGTACCATAAAGAACTTACAGATGCTGTTTGCTGTTGAGTAGCTGCAGCAGCAAATCTTGCCACATGATTTATAATTGGAGAAAAATTKGTTGGTCCATATAACTTCAGTTGAGGAAGACAGGCTCGATATGCATCAACAATGCCTTGGATCCCTAGAGAACAGAAACAGATCACATTATTTTCTTCATATTAGAATATTTTGCTGCACTTGATTTTTCTAAAGTTGTATAAATCAGTTACTTGAAGGGAGGATGAGAAGATTTGAAACTAACCAAGATGGAAAAAAAAATATTCACGAGCATAGAGGCTGTCAGCTTGACAAATGCTTAAGGCACATGCATAACATGACTGTGTGAACAGAAAGGCCAAATAGTGGGCACTCAAGGGTATGGAACTGAATTACAGCAGCTCTGTTCACCTGCCAGCTTGTGGTGCTTGGTGTGTGATCAGAGATGCCACACTAAACAGGCATCAGCAGCACCACACTCAAACGACGCAACTCCTCACCAGCAGCAAAGTRGAAYAAAATGGCTTGACAACACAAARSAACAATTCCCAGCCCTGTGCCCTGKCTGCTTAAACCTCTTCTYTCACAAATCATTACMGAAGAAATTGGTTATACAATTGTTTCCTGCAACAGGACTAAACTAATTATTTAACTAGAACAACATGATTCAGTTCACTTTTCAAGTGTCTTTATCCCTTCACCTTAGGCATTTTACTCTCTAGATCTGATATTGCTTTCTCAAACTTACCATTACAGAATGGGTTTGATGGGTTAAAATTTATTGGGAACTCATGAGACACCTGCGARGACACAGAAGACACAGTCAGGACTGTATATACAATCTCCTCCTAAGTAAGCACTTTCAGCTGTCTTAGGCAGTGCATTTACACATTACCTGAAAGGAAGGAGGGATTTGTGCACCAAATCCAAAGGCTGGAAACATCTTATCTCTAAAAGAGCAATTTTAAAGTTAGTGCCTTCCTTTAAAAGCTGCATAGTTCAGTAAGTTTAGTTATCAGTGCTGCCTTTAACCAYTAAAAATGCTATTTAAGAGGCAAAATTAAATGGAAGTTCCCCACTGTAATTATTTCAAGGACCAAAACTAGTCTTTAACACCAAACTGGCAAGAATGCAAGCATTTATTTAAATCAATGCCGCTATTACGAAAAGCCTTGCTTGTTTGCAGTAAACTCAAGTTTATACATGTAACTATATGATAGTGCAGTGATTATTATTGTTTAGTTCTATAATTTAACTCAGAAGTTTCATTCCAATATATCCGCGGACACCTTAAAAAACTACTACAAAAGTCTAAAAAAGTGATCCAAACAAAAAAATCTAACACTTACGTATCATAATCCTGAATGACCATCCCAACAGACCAAATGGCTGTTAGGTATTCATTAAYTCCATTAGGGCTGAGGTAATGCARGGAGTCCGGAGAGCGAGGGTCTCCATTGGAGCCTGTAAAATCTATCCCCACCTGTCAAATGCAGTATTTATATGTAATTGCTGTTAAGAGGTTAAATTATGCTTCTTATCTCTGGCAAAGTCAAAATGAAAATCATGAAAGAGTTGTAAACATGACATCTACAAATCTAACAGGAGCAGGTTTCTTGGAATATTAACACTCTTAAAACAATGCCACTACAAAACCCTCAAAAGATCTGCATCTCTCCGGAAGAGCTGAAATTACTTTCATCTGAATCATAGAATGGTTTGGCTTGGAAGAAGCCTTAAAGATCACCTAGTTCCAACTCCCCTGCCATGGGAAGGCACAGCTTTCACAAGACCAGGTTGCTCKAAGACCCATCCAACYTGGCTTTGAACATTTCCAGAGATGGGCCACCYACAGCTTCTCTGGGCACCCTGTCAGGTTTTCTTTYCAAACTGTGTTTGCTTTCAGTTACTATTCACAGAAGCTCTTCAAAAGCTGTTAAATTAATTTCATTCTGTATTGTGCCACACACACCTTTCCTCTCAGAAATACAACTAGCCAGGCTCCACGGAAGCCTGGACAGTTCTTTCTCTGACTTCAACAGGTTGTCTTTGCTTTGGTGATGAACCATATTACTAAGGTGTAGACACCTTACTGTTATTTGTTGTGCATTTGGTTCACAAATTACATAACTTAAGGGTCCTGACYCATATAATGACCTCTGCATGTGGCTTTCAAAGAACTGTAAATCTCTCCTTGATCTCCATCCACACAACTTAGCTAGTTCCTAATGAATATAACCAGAGGTTCAGAACTTTTTGCTAGGAGTGAAGACAGTTTTTTTTCTAAACAGACTAGAAGCACTCTGGCAAAATGGCTTCCTGTTCCATGCCACCGAACAGGAAGTCAATAACAAAAAAAACCAAAATATAATTATCAAATAAAAAGCACAAGCAATCAATTCTATCCTTAAATTTGTTCCAAAACTCAAAAGGTACTTCATATAAATGATTCAACTTACTGTGAAATTCAGTTGACACCCACCCATGATGTAATCAAGGAATGTGCATTCTACAATGATCTTAAAATAGAAGACAGAAATTTTGATTTTTTTTCAGTGGGAAAAAAACAGTAAGTATTATTGCAGCAGCTTCTGAGGTTCCACATTTGTTATCTTTACCCATAAAAAGGACTCATTTTGCCCTTTAGCTATCCCACCCACCCACTGCMCCTGGTGCAACGTGCCACCATACACTCAGTGCATCAGAATCAGGCCTTGAACAAAATTACAGCTCCAAAAGGACCTTCATTTCTAAAACAACACATWATGACAATTACAGAATTTTACTTCACCATAAAAGAGTGTGTTGGCAATTGCAGTGGTTGAGAAATGACTTTCACAAACTGACCTTTCTCTTCAAGAGAAAGTTAAGGGAAAGGGGAGGACAGATATGATTCAGATCTCAATTTGTATGCTTATATGAATCAGAATCCCTTAAATATTTACCGTGTCTGGAATTTTCAGAGATTTTAAAGCTTCTTACAGTTTGTAGGTGAAAATATACTAAATGAGAGTTGTTATTCCTTAACACTTAAAAACAGTCTTATCAGAATATATTACTGACCTCACAGTGCTTAACGCTCACAATACCAGAGTTTTTATAGTTCTTTTTCTTCTGTCTTTTCTTTTCATTGATGCACTCAAATTCAACCTGCATGAATGCAAACAAATACAACAAAAATACTGTAATATCATTTATGCAACAAATCTAATAATCCTTTTTTTTTCAGGACTGATACTTTGGGCTTATATTTAAAATGCAGTTCATTTCAAAAACCAGCAAAATTAAACCCAGCCTGCCCAATATCAGCATGAAAAAAACCTAACACATTCTGAAGACAGAAATCCTCTCTTACCCAAAGGGTTACAAATACATTTGTTTTGACAACCGTATTTCAAACAAAGAAATTCTGCACCATTTTCCCTCTGAGAATTCTGCTAGCAAYTTTCTTTTTGGTAAAGACATGAGAATTCAAACAAAGCATCAGTGTTTCCAACAGCTGTGGCTGGAATMATTATTTTTATTATTTATAACACTCAAAATATTGGAAAAGTATGAGTATGCACTCTTGTATATAGATCCTAGTATTTTTAATGTAGAAATAGCTGTAGGTCTTACACAACAAGAGGAATATATAGTAAAGTATCTTGATAACATACATAACATAAAAGTATTCATTTTATTGATAAGTTTGCTATGCCAACTTTTGTCTTCTACATGTAAGCCCTGCCTATTAAAAGGTTTGGAAACTTAATAGTTTGTAAGATCAGGAAGGGTAGGTCTTTAGGCTTTAGGGAAAAGCCACCTAGTGTAACACAGCTGGATTTTTGTGCAGTGGAATAAACACTGAATTTTCTCATATTCACTAGAGGATGCATGATAGTTAACAAGTGTCACACTTTTAAAATAAAGGATTAAGTAAAATCTGAAAAAATACTACAAGCTTTGGTCTTTTAACCGTAGTTAAATTTGTGCTGCATTCTGTCTTTTGGCAATGTAATTTTTTTTCAATTTCTGTATTTTTATGATTAGTGAAATTTGTTTGTGCTGATGGTTGGGCATTTAGATACATAATAATAAAAAYGGTAACCAAGACATTAACCCTTGGAAAATGGATGTATAATATAAATGCTGATTCAGCCTCAACTACAATAGCATTGTTAAGGTGTCAACTTTGATAACTGCAAGTCAGGAGACCTAAGTTTTGCTGCAATATGAGTAAAATAGCTTATCAAGGACACACTGGCAGCGTAGACTACGCAACACTTACAGGTGACGACCGAGATGCTTCCTTCAGTTTTGACATTGTCGTTTGAAAACTTCCTATGAGRTCATGAGACCCATCACTATCATAGTCATAGCACTCAACCTAAAAGGCAGCACAATTTAGTGTCAGTAACAGAAATGGCCCCACAAAAACACAACACTGCAAAGGCAAACCTGAACATCCCAAACATTCCTGTATTTTTATATCACAATTTTTCTTGCGTGGAAGTCTTAGAACTGCATCGAGTTGCACACAGACTAAGACTGGGTAGAAGCCAACACTCGCAGTTTCAAATTTAATCTTCCACACAAATGAAGGAGAGATGAGAATATTAAATAGAGTCAGGTCTTACATAAGCAAACAACATCAATTATATTGAACTATGTTTTGAGAGTGATGGGGTGTGAAAAGAGTAGGAAGACAATGTAGGGTTTTTTAYATTCATAACAGATCTGCACATCCAGCTAAAAATTTAGTAAATCAGGTATGTGAGCAATCATGAGAGTTTTAGCAATACTTTTCTATTACTGTTTTACTTCATTAATCCCCAAAATAACATAGAATTTATAAGCATATAAAGGTTCAGCCCTAAAGCTAGAAACATATTTTTTTTAAGATGAGCAAATTTAAAGAGTGGATCTGTTAAACTACAATCCACACTTCATGGATCTGAACGTCAACTAAAAATCTCTTTTCCTTCATTGAGAGTTTAATGCTAAGCTTTATCATTTAATCAATACACCTTTTTAATAGCCCAATCTACTAAAGAAGGCAGGACTGAAAAATGTTTTTTTTTCTTTTTGAAAACATGACCCAGCTGCCTTTCTATATAAAAATCTGGTTATCTAAGTTTATGCTAATTCCATCCACTTCTGATATTTTATTTCAGTTCAGCAACACAGACATGCTRTTTAACTTAAATCACAGAAAAACATACTAAAATAATTTAATAATGACAATGATAAATARTTACAATAATAAATTAAGAGTCAAGTAGGTATCCCACATTATTTGGAATCAAAATGCAAACTTCAAGAAAAATTTTCAGAATATGTATGGCTTAAACTGAATACCTATTTTCATGCCCATCTTTCAAGTCTGAAAATACTGTACGTTATATTCAAGAATCAATTTAGCTGATTACTTGAGCATTTCAGTTAGAAATAAAAAAGTAAAACAAACAACTTCAACATACACTTGAGCTTCTGAAAGAAATTAGGTTTCTGAAAACAAACAGTAATGTTGAAGCACAAAACATGATGTGTAGATTGGGAGTTCTGCTGTGCAGAACATGCCTCTCTCTTGCAGCGCGCACTACTACAACATCTTGAATTCACCAATAAATAGAAAAATGCATGCACATGCACTGAACAGCACCTTAAATCATGCAAGCAGCCAGAGAACCAACAGSCTAATTCATGTTCATGGCAGATGCTATGCAAATTCTCCTGAATGCCATCAGTTATGCCAATCAAATACTCAGCCAAGTGCTTCAGCATCTGAAATTAAAAACTGAAGACATCTCCCGACCCAATAGTTAAGATACCTGTCAGCACAGTCAGTACAGGTAATTYCCTTTTACTTCAAAGATATCAAAATTTGTCTTGCTTGATATATTTGACACATCCAARCCAATTTTTAATATTTATTCCACACATGAGAGAAGCACTTCATTTTTTTTTCCCGTATAAGCCCTCCTGCACATGTGTGCTGGGGRTGTCTTTTTATCCCATCCCATCTTTGGGTTTTGGTTTTTCTTTGAGGGTTTTTTGTTTTGTTTTGTTTTTAATTTGTTTTTCGTTTGTTTCGTGGGTTCTTTTTTTTGTTTGGTGGGTTTTGGGGGGATTTGTTTGTTTTGTTTGGGTTTTTTTTTTTKTTTGTTTGGGTTTTTTTGTTTAGTTTTTTGGGGTGTTTTGTTTTGGATTTGGGGTTTGTTTTGTTTATGTTTTGTGTCCAGGATGGTCACTGAAGACAACATGCAACAGCATTAGGGAACCATGTGATATAACCTATTTTGCCCAACAGAACAGGGCATGTTTGCTACAGATGAAAGGCTCACATTTTCTACACAGAAAAACTTCACTGACTGYAAACACACTCACATGGAACATAACAATGAATCAGAAGATAAAGAATCAACTTGGTTTGTGCACTGCTGGGCATACACAAACTAAGTTATTACAGAGGTGAAAAGCCACTCATAGGAAAATTGCTGGTTTTACTTACTATGACAAACAGCCCATTACACATGCAACTGTGTGCATATAAAAGTGTTAAAGGCATTGTTTAATCCTTCAATAATATTGCATAATACAATTCTGCCTACATTTTAATGTCTGAAGTGATGGGTCYTACATTTCTAAGTTAAGGCATAATKAAACTGCCGGTTGCAAGTCCATAAGTATTCCAAGTAAAGTTTATTTCCTCTGGATATAAACTTACACTTCTGAGGTAAGATTCCAAAGAACAGACTCTATTAAAATGATGATAGGGCTGAGAATAACTCTTCATAGATACATTTAGATCAATGGTCTATAACTTTAGTATGGCTGTTTACTGAAAAGGAGAAATATATTAATAGTAYATGGAGATGTAAGAGCTGTCACAGCTATTTTGGGGAAAAGGGAAGCAGAAAGGAATTAGATGGGGAAAAATCATAAAAGCAGAAAGGGAAGACAGTTCTGGGCTTGTAAAGTTGCTCATTAGTCTCCTCTATAAATATGTATTTAAAYCCATCYAGGTGCTTGTAACACCTAGATCCCYGTGGCTGTTAAGAATTTTCCAGAACTGCGTCAAGTCATATGTCTTATACCAATCACAGGCAAATCATGCTCTAAGYTTTCCTTCCCAGAGGAAGAACATCAGATATAGTGGTTTTGGGTTTCTTTTTCAAATGCTAAAATATCAGGTTTCTAACATGATCATAATAGCTTATAAATGGCATTTTGATTAGCTTTTTAGCTTCAATTCCAGCCCTAAAAGGAATTCCTGTCGAAAAACACCCAGAAGTTAAACACAATTTATCCAAGATAAAATCTGAAAACACAAAAAAATTAAGACCAGCTGTAGTAGAACTATCACTTCAGAGTTTTGGTTAACTTTMCGACAAAAAATCATTTTTATATGAAGAGAAAAAGTTGCTAAAACTAGTATTCACAAATTGTATCTGACTCACATCTGTTAGCTACTGTATTAAGTGTAATTTATTTTATCGGGCAGTATATTAATTCCATTAATGCTACGTGTTGCACCAGTAACAAAATACTACAAGATCCATTACACAGAACAAAGCATAATCCAGCCTTTACCATGCATCTTTCACTATACAGCATCTTTAACACTGCCAGGATTGGCTGATGCTAGAACTGTACAATTGAAATAAGAAACTGAACTGGTCATTTCAAAGATAGTTGTGTTCAACTGGTTTCCCAGACTTTCAAAGCCCAACTTCTGCCACACAATGCATCACAAATTTGCAGTGTTTTCTTTATTTCCCCTAAACATGCATGCGTATCTGTGCCTTTCAAATAAGATACCTAGTACTTTCAGTTAAATTTGAAACAAAAAARCTCACAGTAACTAGAATAACACATCTTCCCCTTATTACATATTTTCATTTTTAATGCATTAATTTATGCATGCATTTAATATACATTACCTTGATTGACTTATCCATGTCACTGTAACACAGAGAGTTGAGAGAGATTTTAAAGGGCCTCCAAACAGGATTCAGGTTGTTTTTAATAACCTGTTGAAAGAAAAAAAAGGCAGAACACCATTGTTCACAAGGGTGGAAAGTAGTCATTATAACGGGTCATACCTTCATGCCACAACATTTGTATGCAAAAAAACAGCTGACTAATGCTGCTGTCAATGCACTCCAAATCCTAATATACAGGATATAAACAAACTACTCTTAAAATGCAGTATCATTGYTCAAAAAGAGATGCTCTCTTTCAGCTCCACATTTTGCTAGACTTCACTGTCACTTACTATATTCTTCAGCTACTGCACTGCAAAAATACTAAATTTATCTTTGCATAAATAGATACTGGYTGCTTTCTTTTAATAAGCACACATATATACACMTACACACATATAAAGGCATCAGTTACTAAGAATGAGTGAAAAAAATATTATATTGGAATAAATTCTGAACAYATCAGTGCTCTGGAGATTACAGTTCACTCACGCTTATTATTTATTCTGAAATGTCGTTTTTGTAAATACTCCCTCAAAAATTCACAGTGTAGTAAAGTCAAAACAATGTKCGAGGATAAAAGACTTCTCAGGCTGAACACTAAAGAACTGTTTTGTACAAATAGTACTGAAGGATCTTAAGAATGTGTCACTGTTAAGTACCTGTAAATATACCTGATACACCAAATAATGGTCTTACAAAAAYACAAGAAACTACACACCACATGCACTGCTTAACTAATAGTAATTAACAATGGTATTGCTTCCAGCACTGTAGGAGTGCTAAGAAAGAAATGTCTCTTGAAAACAAAAACAATAAAAAGAGCAGTTAGTAACAAAAAGGAGTTTTTGGAACCTGCAACATAAAAAACTAATCCAGCAGAYGTTATTAAGCTGGAACAATCAATTCTGGATTTGTTACTGAAGTTGATGAATGAAATCAACATAGAAAAGATGTACTTTAATCAGAAGAACCACCTCATAAGTGAAACTATTTTTATAAGTATGACAGAAAGGATTTATACTTCTTCAATACCCACATTTCAAAATGAATACAGTCACCACTTCCAAYGGGCACAGCACCTCAGCTGTGACTGGGCCCTGAGCTGTCACTACAGTGAGACATTTTGAAACCCTGGCAGCTGCTGTCATAGGACCCCTATCCTCCTCCTGGGTGAAAGGCTGCTGCTGCTCAAGCAGGTTTTCCCTCACTCTGCATCCTCCTTGGCCTGCCCTTGCTATGCAAGCATTCAGCATTATTACTTTCACTAGCAAAGGTATGGCCAGGTGACACTTTGCTGAGAACAGCATAGTCAGGAATGCCAAAGTCATACCCCAGCACCGGGYAGGACAAATGTCCGTGTGAGTATTAAGCTCTCTTTCAAAATATTTTTCTCCTAGATTGCTGAAAGTTAAAGAAAAACAAAAAGTATTTTCCTTTCAAACAGAATGGCATAAAACAAAATAAATCAGAATAAGGAGAATAAGGTAGATTTCCCAGAAAAATCAGTGGAAGARATGATGGAATTTCTAACTTGTGTGCATGTCAACTCCCAGGCCAGTCAATTCTTTTTGTAAGGCATTGTATCTCTAGTGCTGTGACATACTGGAAATTAAATAACCTAAACCTCTTAGCTGTTAGCTAAAAATATCCTACCTCTGTTCTGTGAACCATCACCCAGTTTCCATCTCCAGTCTGTTTGTGGAATTCCAGATAAGGATCTGACTTTCCAAAAAAATCCTGTATTTAAATAACATGCAATTATCTCAGAACAGSCCGTAGCATGAATACTGTTAAATTCTAGTTAACACATAGATTAACAAAAAGTAAATTYAGGGAACAGAAGCTTTAGATGATGAATTGCAAGGCTGATTTTATATTACCATCTGTGGAAGAGAAAAAGAAAGTGGGTAATGTCTTTCAGTTTAGGATAAAAATGTCCACATATCAAATACCTGACAGTTCAAKCAAAAGAATATTTATACCAATAAGTACTACAATGGAAAGACAAAAAAACAAAGTATTTCATCCAGTTAAAAAAAAAGTATCACTAACTCAAAAGGTAAAAATAAAAAAAAAATTCTATTACTGTCTTAATTTTGTTTTTGAAAGTCTTTCTATATACAGTAATTTTAGCCAGCCCTATAYTTAACATAACAAAATTACACACACTAAGTATACCCTTCACCATTTATTTCAGAGAGGTAGTAAGCAATCATTTATATTGTCATTCAAACCAATGGATATACAAAACTCCCTTAGATTTATGAATAAATGTAAGGATTTACATTTAAATGGGAGTGTGTTGCTCATGSACTAGCCCTGAAATGCATTTATCTTACTTAGAAATACATTACAATTAATTTCAAAAAMGTCAATGAAGTTACTCTGTAGCAATCTTACTTCAATTTTTTTTTCTCAGTACAAGTAAAATCTTAATGGATTTTATTTTTTATGCAAAAATAARAATGAATACTTAAATGTTTCCCACTTTGACAAGATTCTGATTTTACTGMTTTATCWAAGAAACAGCAATCACTTAAATACCTTGTTGTCCAGTTTCCTTGCTTCTATTTCCAATATAACCACYCTGTTATCCTTCACTTCTTCTGCTGTAATCTGGGTAGACAAGCAAAATACTAGCTTTTTATTCAGGAACAACACAGCTTTTTCATATTCACAGCATTCCTATGACAGGCTCATTAAAAAAAAATCCCATGTTTTCTCAAAAATGGAGCATTAAAAAATGGGTGGGGAGGTGGGGAGAGAGAAACAATTTAATTTGATATTGKGATTCCATTCTATCTATTTACCATAAATGATGGCACTGATAAAGATATGCCTCTAACAGTAACTGGATGCCCTAATGATGTATGCAATGGGACTTTATTGTACAGAAGGTGGGCTGCTATTGGATGACAAAAATGTATATTAATGGAGGGAAAAAAATGTTTTACAATACTTTTCGCAGCACTATAGAATAGACACACTGCATTCAAACCATTAACTTAAAACAAAACCCAGAAACAATTAAGGATGAACTCTGAAGAGATTTATTTCTTAACTGTCTTACCATAATGCTTCCTYTTCCAGCAGGTTTGCCATTTTTAAGTACTAATGGTTTTGTCAGAGTCCTGCTAGAAACTATCTGCCAAGACAAAATTTGATTATCAAGCATTATTAATGCAATTTAACAGATTTTCAAAGGAATTAAACTAGCTAGTGAGGCATTTTCATTTTAGGAATTTTTTCTTTATTGTGAAGATGACAGCATTACATTTACTCCTCATAATCTTCTATGAATAAATAGRTATTACTTGATACACTTCAAAATTTTAAAATACGTATGCAGATGAACACTTAAAGAGCTTCAAGAGCAGTAAGAAATAAAATGTCATCTAGTAACATGATACACRCATGGACAAAAATAATATCTTATGTTCCAATTTCAAATTGTTCTTTACATTTTTCACACAGACTTTTAAAATGCATGTAAGGTATATCTGATAAATGGATTCAGCAAAAGATTTATAAATACAATGTCTGTCACTAAAAAAAACCATCAGCCTCCCCCTGCACTGTTTCCAGCTGATTCTATTTTACYCTATTGAGGCAATGCTTCCTCACAAGTGTGTCTATTCATTCTACAGGTCCTTCTGTATTTTAAGAATGAATGTTTAATTTTAAATTGACATTGAATTTCAGTTCACAATGCCTCTATCTTTATAATGCACTTAAAATAAATATACTTAAGACACAGRGCAGGAAAAGACCCAAGATAACTTTTGTGAGAAGTGGCTTTGAAGGATCTATTCAAAAGAACAAGTCAAAAAGAAGCTGCCCAATTGTGATAGCATCAATAGCAGAATATGATGGGGAAATGGAAGTAAAATCTACAGCTGGCAGAACTAGGATCTGCTTGCATTGAGTGGAARGCAGATTACAAGGATAACATGGCCCTTGTGAAYGCTCATACATTGTTCTACACTGATTCTCTTTTTATGGAGCATAAAAATAGGAATTTGAGCATTAGAGCAAATAAATAGCAATTACCATAACTTTGTGTTTATTGATAGTCCACTTACTTTTAGACAGCAATCCAACAGTCACCACCCTAGAGCACATTTCAGGGCATCATCTCAAGACCTTTTGCAAATAAAATGTATATATACTGAACTGAGGCTTGAAAAAACAAATGAAGGGAATCCTATTCAACTTAAGAGTACTCCAACCACATGAGAACATAATGATATATTTAGGGTAAAAGTGGTTAATTATTTTCATTAAAAATTCTATGGGAAATTGTCTGCATGCTTACCTGTCCCAGCGTACATTCTAATTCTCCTAAAAAGTCATCATCACTCAGCTCAAAGGTTTTGTTATCGATGTCATATATTCCRAACTTAAGTTTCTGAACTAGCTCAAAATAATAATCAATTAAGAATTTCTTGGCAAACTTTGGGTTCAAGGAATTCTTAACTCTTTCTGTGCGATCAACCTGCAATTAGATAGATACMGCTTTAGCCGATATTTCACAAACTAAACAAGCAAGCAAATCAAATAACATATTATTACAGACATTCAAAAGTTCTTATAGCACAAAAAATACCTTCCTAAAAACCTTTCATCAAATACAAATTAAATTAAAAAAATATGATATGGTATGATATTAACACTTTATATTACAAAACCTGYTGCTCTAAGTTAGGGATACTTGAACTGTTTTTCATCACTCCCTCTAAGAAAGGACCTAGTTCTGCACAGGGAAGACCAATGTAAAATCTTATATTGTCAAATCCAGGATGAGATCCTAGTTTTGGAGTCCTGTATTTATAAAAGGCTATAAAAGACACTTAAGGCTTCTTCTGTTGGCCCACACATGGCTGGGGAACAGTCCTAAAAATCAGACTGTTGAAAGTATTTAACAGGAAATGATTATTACTGTGCTGCCCATATAACTATTAGGGACATCATCCAATGAAAAGTATTCAGAAGTGCTGGTATAAAATTAAAATATTTTAATGAWATCATAAGCTATAGTATTTTAAAAGGTCCAACAAGTCAGAATGTGTTTTTAGCAGATTTGTGAGAAGCATCAGACTGTACCTCATACCACTGCTGACCACTTGTGTTCTGGAGAAGCACACACAGAGGGTCTGACTTGGAACCAACRTCTTTATCCAAGAGATTGGTGCAGGCAACAGTCAGCTCCACCTTTGTCACACACTGCGCCGCCATTTGKTATGCTAGAAAGCAGTAACAGAAATCGTTTATAAAACGGACTGAAATGCAAACAATGGGATTGTCACAATGCATTAATTCCCTAACTGATCACTAGAAGTGTTAGCTTGTCAGGAGTGATAATTTGAGGTTACAAATGCAAATTTAAAAATTTATGATGTAACAACATTACAGCATTATCACCCCTCTTGTCTTTGCCTCACAGTTATAAAAAATTAATTTCAAAATCTGAACATAAAAAATGACATCAGGTTTCTTACTACACTTGAGGAACCAAATGAAAAATGGAATATACCTCAAAGAGAGCACAGTGGTTTGAACTGCTGACAATAAACTTCAGAAAGTTTAAGTGAAATCCTTACATTATAAAAATGCCAGCATCTTAGAATGTAGATATTATCGATATTTCCTTGAAAAAGGAAAAAAATCATTTGACATCCTCCTCTACCAAACCTTTGTAACACAATGCTGAAATCATAAGCATGTCAGAATTGGAAAAGGAATTTAAGCAGGTAACAGGTGATCTGCTTTAGTAAATCTACAAAAACAACTACAATTTTCAATAACAAGGATAAACACTTTGAAGTCAAGTAACAASTGAGAACTTGAGGGATCTGTTCTTTCTGAAGATACATTTAAGAAAAAAATAACTGAAAGCACTGTTACATTTTCTCCTTAAGCACCTCAATCTTTCTCCACTGGAACTAAGACCAGCAGATATTACAAACCTACAGAAACAATTTGATTATGAATCCCACAGTTATGAATCCCACACTAGGAKGCATTTGCAAGCCCAAGTAAGTTGGAGCACCATATTATTTGCTAAATTTAAAAAAAAAAAAAAAATCTCCATAATTATACACTTTGAGGGTAGAGTTGATCATTTCCAGTAACTYTTGGGGAAGCAAACCTCTAGAGTACAATCCTCCTTGACTCAGACACCGAAACTTCCAAATCTTTCCACAAGCCACCTACCCCAGAGGCTCCCAAACTTCTTTAGTTTCAGGTTTGCCTTCTCTCCAGTAAATCCACAGCCTAGACCAAGTATCCCTTTGGATTAATTTATCTTAAAAGTGCATGAGACACCAAATAGAACAAGACAGAATGAAAGGTATCTGCTTGTGTCTAGTCAGCTCACTTGCAACATATACATGCAGTATATTTGAATATGAAACTATGCTTAACCCAACCCAGCTCTCTCCCTTTCACTGTACTCATAAGATATTTCACTAAAAAGAATGTTTTTTTTAGAGGCAAAAAGGGAAAGGAACATGGAAAATACAAAGAACAAACTGAAAACAGAAGAAAAAAAACATTGTGGCTGAGGGAATTTTCCTGAGGCTTCTTGTATTCCACTAGGGTACAATTCACAAATTGCCTCATCTCCATTTTGCTGTCTTAGTTAGTGATGGATCTTTTGGAGACTCTAGTATATATAAATTATCTGTAAAAGAAACACTCAAACATCTACACATATATTTTAAGCATGTCAGATTCATGGAAATCCTCATGCACGTCCCAAACACCTAAATGTGATTTCTTCTTTGAGTATCTTTTTCATCCCAAGACTTTATGAAGTTTAATTCATTGTCCTTGAGGGGAAAAGYGTGAAGGTCTAAGTATTTAAATAGTTTTTAAACCAATTGTTTYCAGGCTTAGAAAGCATACCTCTTAAAAGCAGTCTGCCCCTTTTTTCCTGGTTCTCTTTACACTGGTATTTTCCATTCCCTATTGCTTTCCTGGCTGCCACACTGAGCTCATTAACAGYCAGTGCTTTTCCCACAGAATCCAGTGCAGACCAGTACATGATCCCTTAATGGCAGTTTCCAGAAAAACAACTTTCTACTGACAAAACGATGCTCTAACACCCACTGATGCTGCAATAATAAGTAGAAAGGGTTTTCAYGAAATTCAACAGAATTTAAACTTGAATTGAGATGCATTTTTAAAYGAGTCAAAATTTTCTTGCTTCATCTTGCCTGAAACTCATTATTAAGAGTCCTTGAAATCTGCAGCTACATTTCTTTTGTTAAGGCAATATTTCCAAAATCACTGGCAAATGGATAGCATCTAGTCAACCTGTTTCTTTTGTTAAGGTAATATTTCCAAAATCACTAGTAAACGGATAGCACCCAGTCAACCTAAAAATATGGTCAGCTTTTCTTCCTTTTTGTCTGTGTGTACRTCTCACTTYTTGTACATYTYAAGTACTTTCTCACATGAACACATCAATTCTGTTATTTCCTTTCCTCTTCCATGTCACCAATTCTACCACTATGTATCTAATGCAAGAAAAGAGCAGATTAAGTAAAAGAGGTACTCTGAAAAGAATCCTTTAGCTCAGAGAAGGGAAGAAAAAAAGGCTGATTCCCTTCCCTGAAATGCAAATCTCATTTGAGRTAAAACAACTGTTTCCACATCATATAAAATGCAATTTGCAACAAGAACATGCATTTATTAAAGGGGAGGATTCTCAAAATCCAGACAAAGAATAAAACCTCATAAATCACAAGATGGTCTTTTAATTTTTACCATTTCTAGTTTTGAAAAATATGGAAGATGAAGAATAATGCAAGGCATTTTCCTCGGAARTTCTGAGAATATTAGGCATCTATATAATAGATTGAAGAAGTCTGTAATACTAATGCATTTCAAGAAATAATTTTAAAAGCATGTTTTTCTCCATCAAACTGACACATTTTACAACAAACAGCTACATAAACCTGATTTTTGGTAACATTATTATTATTAAAAGTTTTTAGAATAGTTATTAGCAAGAAAAAGTCATGTCTCTTTAACCCAAACTGGTATTTAAGGTAGTGAAACTTAGTAAATGACAACTTAGTAAACTTAGAAACTTAGTAAACAACAAGAGATACTTCTGTTTCAACATTGCACAGCTTACAGAATTTGCAGAGGGCACACAAGCTTCACATGTGTGAAGCTAGAGCTCCGCCCATGCTGCAAAAATCCTCTCATCCCAAATTCATGAAACAAAGAAATATCCCAGCTCCACCCAATTCTCTTCACTTCTAAAAGTCTGTGTTAGCTGAAAAGTTCCAAACAGTTTTGAGAGGTGGGTGGTACGATTTCTAATGATGATAAACATCCTCAAAGATCAGTACTTATCACATAAGCAAAGAACCTCTTCTTTGGATGGAAATTGAGGACTTGAATCGCTCCAAGTGAAAATAAATCATGGCTGTACTAGTGCCTTACCCTTGAAATGCCATTCTGCAACACATCTAATAGGCAAACAAAATGTAAAATATTCTAGATACATGACTAGATTACTTCAACGTTTGRGATTCTGGAGTAACTTTACATGGACAGATTATATTGTTTGGGCTGTGGTAGGATGAGCCTTGATTGCCAGTAAGTTACAACACATAAAAGATTTAGTTATTTAAWTAGTTAGTGTTATTGAAGTAGCTGTGCTCCGCATTGGTCAAATTTAATTAAGACCAAGCTTGTTTTTCTCAAGCTATCAACTGCTTGTCCTCCATGTAGGGTACACCACAAAGGGAGGCAAAGCACATCACAGTGTGTGCAGATGATAGCTTCATCATCCTTTTATTGAAATAGCTTCTATGACTGCAGGAGAATATCAGGCTTAAAAAAAAAAATCTGGTCAGGAAAGACTGAAAATTATTATATAAATTGTGCAGCAGAACTTGCAACATTCAGACTCTGAACTGTGACAATACTCAATGACAAGGGATCCTCTGCCACGTCTAGGCTGCTCAAGACCATGATTAGGTCAACTAGGAATAAGACAAGTCTTTCTGCTTAAGCTGTAATTATCAAARTAAAAACCTAAGTCAAGGACTAGTCTTGTCTTGCAGTTTTATAGATCAGAATGTTCGTTTAATTCCAGTGATGATTMTAATGAAGATAAGTGGTACACATCAAACCAAGTCATTGTCTGCTTTTCAAGCGAAACTGCAAACATGGAAACCTGGAAAGGAATAGATCTATTATCAGAGCAAACTAACAATGCAGTTGGGAAGTGCCAGACTGCAGCAATCCTCACTATGCTGCAATGTCAGAGGACAGTATTGGTGTGCCCAGATAACCTTCCAGAGCATTACAATGACATGTTCACAATTATAGCTGCATCCAATCTGACAAGCAGAAATACCTAACCAGGAGACAAAAGACTAATGAAATGGGTTTGGCATCACTTTAGTCACAAGYCTTTAGTCACAAGTCTCAAACCTGTTCTGAAGTAAATTATTGCTGTCATAGAATATTTCCTAGTTMCTGTGAACTACTAATGGCAACATATCAAAAATCTGCATTTGTAGATATCTCAGGGCAGAAATGGACACAGAAGGGCCATGAGAAACTTGTAAATAAAGTCTATCCCTGATCAGCTAATC